TGCTACACCAGCGATGTGCGAGTTCTGTCTGAATGGGTGTGGTGGTGACGCTCTCTGCCTCCATGCATTGTGGGTAATGTCAGGGTCTCCCTGCATTGCTGTAAATATGGAGTCTAAGTGCTGCAGAGCTTCTCAGGGAGGGTTTGGAGATAAAAATCCATCCCAGCCAGTATTGTACTTGGTTTTGTGACTGCATCAGATGACCTAAGACTATTGCACACTCCTGGAGGCTGTGTTATTTTATTTATTTATTTATTTTTTGTGATCATGTGCGAGGAGGAGGCGTGTGCAGGGTTACAAGGATGATGGGAATGTGCTCACGACTCGCCCTTGAAGGTGGTGCAGGCTTGTGCTGCCCTCTGCAGGCTGCAGAGAGTCACTGAACCAGCAGAGGAGCTCAGCTGCGATGGAGTGACATCATTATCTTCAGCAGAGCGCTATCATGTGTTACCATAAGCTCTCTGTCATATATATTCTTCTTAAACTGATTTAAGTTTTTAAGAATTGCATGTGATTAAGTTTTAATTAAAGTCTTAGTGATGAATTTTATCTGGAGGACATGTGACCTTCTTGTCACTTATAATCTGTTCTTCTTTTCCCAGGAGAGCCAGGATTACGAGCCAGAAGCGTAAAAGCATCATTCCAAGCCACCATCCAACCAGCAGCACAATAATATTTCTAATAATAAAAAGGACAAATGCTGAAACTATTACAATTATACTCCCGTTGCAAAAAACAACAAAAAAGCATTCCCACTGAAAAATGTTCTTCCTTCAAGACAAATCTTTTATTATTATATATTGTAAATGTCATGTTATTAATGTAATGTGTTGGGTGTAGGTATTTATTGAGGTGTAGGATTTGTCCTCTCAGTCTCATTTCCTTGATTCCCTCCCAATGAAATGAGACTAGAGCCGGGGCTTGTGACTTTGTACTTGTGTGTATCTGTATTTAGAAACGTGCAATAGATGTTCATCATCTTCCAATGAGAAATTGGGAGTTGAAAAAATTAATGTCCGGTTGCAAGCAGATATGAATACAATAATATTCCCTTAAGTGTCGACAATGCCTGTTTGTGGGTTTTTTTGTTTTCTTTTTGCATTTCTTTGGAAATTTATTTGAACGTTTTTGAAGTAAGAGTTTTTTACATTGTATCTTTATAGTTGCTTGTGAAATCATTCCAGTAAACTATCTGTTAGAAATGGACAGAGTATACATGTTTGTGTGTGCGTGTGTGTTTGTGTGTACTGAAGATTTTAACAAATCAATATATTATGTCTTGAAATCATAATGGTTGTCATATCAATATGTGCTTTAAATTGCAGGACTTGTCAATATTAAGGTTTATGTGTTAAGCCAGACATACAAATCCTCTGTAAATAAAAAGTAAAAAAGAAACCATTTGTTAGTGTTGTTCGATAATGTTTAAATTGACGTTTGGCATTGATCACTCATTAGATTTTAAAGCTCTTGTAACTGGTTCTGTTTTTCCGCCTGTTGATCGAAATAAGGATTTTTTATGCATCGTCCTCAAACGCTTCCCTTTTTGCTCACTCTTGTCTGGGGGTTTGATTACAGGATGTGTAGAATCTGCTGAGCGGGCTCTGGCTCTTGGCAGGACGCTGCCATATTTGGGATGCCTGTCTGATCGTGCCTTTTTTGGCTGGTTTTGTTTGGGTTAATCCGGCTGGAACGTGCAGGCTTGGTGGTGTCGGGCTCAAACAGAGGGTATTAAACAGCCACTCCTGCCGCTGCCGGCTCAGACGGATGTGTGGACACTGCAGGAACAAAGACAGGAGCCATGGCCTCATTCAAGAAGTCCTTTGAGGGCCTGAAAAGCACGAGCCAATCGGCTGCGAAAGGAGTCACAGACACTGCAGGTACAGAACTACAGCTATAAGATGACACAGGGTGTGTGTGAGGTCTGGTAGACAGAGAAAAACCTTGACAAAGATTTGTCATTTGTCGAAATCATTTTATTTTTATCTTTTACAACTGTTTAAAAAGTTGGAGTTGAAAACTTAAAAAAAAGCAAAAAGCTGTCAGCTGCTCCTGAGGTCAGTCACTGTAAGTCCTTGTGATGTGTTTTCAGTGCAGGCAGCTCAAGATGCTGTGCAGCAGGTGGCAGACTCCTCCAAAGAAACAGCCAACACAGGTAACGTGTTCGCTCCTCTGTCTTTGAAGCCTCATAATGTGACAGTGGGACGTGTCATTTTGAGCAGATAAGGGCTAAAGGGCAGAGTCGGGCTGTCAGAGGATGAAAAAACTTTGCTCCCAAATTATGTGTTTAATGGTCGATGAAAGATGAGTTCCTAAAAGGGCATGAATAATGATCCAAAAACTCCACTCATCTCTAAGAGCTGGAAACATGGGACGATGTGCAAGTGCACCTGGAATTACCATAAGCCTATTATTCAACTTACATAAAACTCAGCACTAAAGGAATAAAAGTGAGCTCAAATTTTACTTGGATGAAGGTGTTTTAGAGACCTTCAAACTCTTGCAGTAGAGTGACAGTCTAAATTGAATATTTTGGATATGAGCTTTTTACAGACACATAAACATATACTTACATCATCTTACTCCCATCATAGTGCATGTGAGGTGATAACAAAAGTTTGATGGTCTTAATCAAACTCTACTATCTAAACAACTTTCTACAGCCTAATAGTGATTATATCTCTTCTGCTTCACTCTGACTCTTTAAAGCTACTCAAGAAGCCGGCAAACAGACTCAAGCAGCCATAGGGAAAGCTGCGGACAAGGCCACGGACACCATCAAGGAGTTTGGACAGAAATTGGAGACCAAATGATCCCTAAAATATGAACAATTCTAGCTGAAACACTCGAGCCAACTTGTCTGATCATCCATGGGTTATAGACCAGTAGTAATGTTGGAATGGAAGTATGTTGGCATCAGAAAACCAGAAAATAAGTTATATAAGTTATATATCTCCACACAGCTAACATTCCAAATTGTCTTTTTTTAAATTTTCCCCTCACCTTTTTCCATTTGTGTTTCTTGCTTATTATACATTTCATTATATGTGACTGTTTTGGGCAATAAAAACAGATACCAACGTGTTTCTCAGGTTCGTAAAATGTGATACCCTGCCACATACAGTAGGAATAACACTGTTAGTAGCAGTGGAAGCACTGTGTCTGTGATGCATCCTGTTGTGGAGAGCGCTCATCAATGAATCACCACCGTCATTATTACCAACACATTGCTGAGAAGATGGCCTTTGGCAGGCTGATAGTTCCTGATGAGAATATGATCAGAGCTGTCTACCTTGGCCCTCAGCAGCACACCTCCCTCCATCAGGCTACATGGTTGCTAGGCAACAGAACTCTGTGGCAGCCAGGGATTGGTGGAGGCCTCTGAATTAATGGTGAGAATACTTCTGTCAGTACACGGTGTTCTGGCCAAGCTGCAGCCCACCGCTACAGTAGAACCAAGACGGGGAAGATTCTGAAAAATAAAAGAAATAAACGAAACATCCTCGGTCCCACACAATTACTCGAGGCGAGCAGAATTACTGAAGCTCTAGAGAAATGCGTGAAAAATGCGTGTCGCAAAGCGGAGAGGTTGGAGGGAGGACTGAGTATGAAAGACATGGTGGTTTACAAGTGTTTATTTGTGTGGGAGGTGCAGCTCTGCTTCCTCCAGGCTTCTTCAGCTGTTAACCCCTGTTGTCTTTCATGTTCTCTCACTGTTGCAGCAATACTAAATATTACACAAATTTCCTCCACAAGTCCTGAGTTTGCATTACCTTTCTGGTCCTGTAATGAGCCTGTGATGATCTGCCTCCACAAAACTAAATGTGGATTAGAGGAAGTGTTTTGTTTTTTTGTTTTTTTGTTTTTTTATCTAGACAGCGTTTTACTACAGTTTGATCACTGATTTCTTTAAACCAAGAGTGGTCACACAAATGTGGCCTTCATAGACGCACACATTGCTGTCTTATATAAAAACCATTTTTAAGAAGAGAAATCCCTCTTCAGCACACTTCACCCTCCCTTCAGAAGCCCTCACAAGTGATCACCTGTACTCACTTGAAAGCTTTTATCACCTATTAATGCATCTTCTAAAAATCTCTCCAGCCAAGCCAATTCACAGGTTTATCTCTGTACACAGTTGCCTTTATGTTGCTATGAGAACCTGGAGTTAATTACTATGATTTACTGATGATTAGAGAGCTGAACAGAGATTTTGTCATTACATTATACCACTCACTGCCAGAACCCGACCGTGGTTTCCAGGGAAACTGTGAATGTGAAGCTTTTCAACAGACACAGCCACAGCTTAAAGAGCGAGGATTGCCTAAGATAGATTCTTCTAGAGACAAACCTGTAGCCTCTGCAATCACTATCAATAAACAGAGGAGATGTGCGGACAGATGTGGGTCTCCATAAACGCTGAGATTTGCGATGTTTGACCTGCTGAGGTATGTCTTTCACTCGTGATTTCCTGCAGCTTGTTTGATCCTGTTTGTTTTCATAGTTAAAAATTGAACAACTACTCTGGATTCCTGTGCATGCTTCTGGATTTGATTTGTGGTTGATGACTAAAAAGGGATTTAAATGTGTGCTATGTGAATGTATTTTTAGGATAGAAAGATCTGAGTCATAATCAAGTAGTAAAATATTCCAAAAAATGTAAAGTATAATGTGCAGTTTAATGACGTGTTTAATAATGGTAGATATCCCAGATTACAGTGGGATAGGCTGCGAAAATACATGTGAATAATTTCCATCCAGTAGTAGCAGTGATGTAACTTGTGTAACATGGCAGCATCTGGATACTTGACATCAGTATCGTATGACAGAATATTTTTATCACAAAAGCAAACTGTCGTTTTATTCTCGGCTCGTGCTGCGGTTCGTCGTTGTAGTTACTGATTACAAATTGCACAAACAGTGTGTCATCGCTGTGTTATGCCCTGCAGGTACTTGTACCACTTTAATATAGAGGCAGAATGGGAAGTATTAAGGACGAGATGAGAGGTCTCAGAGAGGACCACCAGCCTCGTGAGAAGACAGATGATGGAGAGCATCCAGGCGGCTCAAATGGCAGCTCTGTGCCTGAGGGACCTCAGATAAACACGAGTCAAGAGTCAACAACTCAAGGGGACTATCAGCCAAAACTACACACGAATGCCAGCCACACTGAGGAGGGAGGCAATAATCCAATATCCAAAGATCCAGTGCTCTCAGGAGGGGATAGAGACAACACTGACTCTATAGGTGTTAAAGACCATACGCAGACTGATGCCATCCCTCTGATACAACAACCTGAAGCTGATAGTACGACGACAGCTGTACACAACAACATGACAATCTCTAATAAGCTCCTGAATGATGGTGAAGGAGATGCTGAAATTCAGAGGGAAGAGTCTCAGGATAAAAGCGTGGGTCAGGACAGAGAGAAAGAGGCAGAAATTGAGAGTATCTTGGTGCCTGTGCCATCAACCCCAAACCCTTCCGACCCACGTTCCCCCGACCCACGTTCCCCAGCTCCTTTGGGACAGCAGCACATGCGCACGCAGGTGAGCCTGGAGGTGGTCCAGTGTTGCTCTGCAGCCACCAGCCCCATGACTCCTCCCGAGGGCGGCCATTCCTACTTCTTCCCAAGCTCTTTTGGAAGATCCGAAGGTGTGGGCTCTGACACTAAAGATGCTGAGCTACAGGTGGGTCAGCAGGTGGAGTTCTGCTCTGTTGCCACCTCCCCCATGACCCCAAAAACGCCTTCGACCACTGCTTTCCCAGAGCTTATCGGGAGGGAGACGGTGCAGAAGGAGGAGAAAGTGAAAAAGAGTGAGGATCAGAGAGAGAGTGGCCAGCACGAGAGTTTCCCTGTGACAAAGAGTCTGGCAGAAGCTGAGTCAGAGATAACTGGAGCTATGAAATTCACCACTTCAAAGGAGCTGACCGAAGGCTTCAGCTCAAATGCATCTCCAGAGAGCTCTGCCAGCTGCCCAGCTGCTGGGTTAATGGAGTCACAAGTAACTCGGGAGGATAGTAATCAGCAGTGTAAGCAGCAGAGGATGGGAAGTATGGATCAGGACATTACAATCCTGGTGACCCACTATAGCAATGGTGAGGAGGAAGGGGAAGAGAAGGCTGAGTTATCTTTTTATTCCATTGAGCCAGAGATGGTCAAGATAGACGAATATGAGGAGCTCAGTGAAAACAAGAGTGATGGGAAGGAAACTGCTGCTCCTGATCAGGCACAGGACACCTCAAATACAAACCCCCCACAAACCAAAATTGAAGAATCATCTGTTCCTGCTAGCGACCAACCAAAAGCTGAGATCAAAGACACACGTGAAGAGGTAAAAGATGTTTCCGTGACAAAACCTCCTGTCCCCGAATCTCCAGCTCCCTTCGGCTGCCACAACATCCGCACACAGGTGAGCCTGGAGGTGGTGCAGTGTCAGTCTGTGGCTACCAGCCCTATGACTCCTCCTGAGGGGGACCAAGCTTTCTACTTCCCAAGCTCCTTTGGGAGATGTGGAGCTGTGGGTGCGGAGACTAAAGACGCTGAGCTGCAGGTGGGTCAACAGGTGGAGTTTCGCTCTGTCGCCACAGCGCCCATGACGCCAAGGACGCCCACCACCACGACTTTTCCTGAGATCAGGAAGGAGGCTAGTATAGAGGAGAAGATAGTGGAGGAGGAAGAAGATAAAAAGGAGGAGGATGAGGAGGAAGCACTTAAAGAGGAGGAGAGAGTAACCAAAGAGAAAAAAGTGGAGGCAGCTGAAGAGGACAAAGAGGAGGCAATACATTGTAATGAGAAAGGTGAGGAGAAATGTGAGGAGCCGGTGCAGGAGGTGAGCTGGGACGAGAAAGGAATGACGTGGGAGGTGTACGGGGCGGTGGTGGAAGTGGCCGTGCTGGGCTCAGCCATCCAGAAACACCTTGAGAAACAGGTGAAGAAGCAGAAGAGGCAGCCCTCCATGCCTCCCCCTCCTCCGCTCAACCCCTCGGCCATACCCCTCACCTCAGAGTCCGCCCAGGGGGGTTCAGGGTCGGGTAAAGGCCGGGCCGGGAAGAGAGGGGAGGAGGATGGGAAGGTGAGCCGACGCAGAAGAAACCCGTTCCGCCTGCTAATGGAGAACATGCAGCAGCCACATTGTTGCTCCAGAGCTCATACCACCGAGTGACACAAGAATAAAGCAACAGCTGGCCGCAGGTAAAAAACATCTGTCAAAGTCACACGAGATCTGATGTATGTGGCTGTGATGCTCACTGATTCACTTCAATGTGACAGTGTCTTGACAGTGAGAGAAGCAAATCACCTCCTCACACGAGACAAAAAAGCACAAAAGCATTTATTGTACGGTTTCTATGGTGGAGCGTTCGTGACTGAGAATCAGCCATATAAGATTTTTTTTTTTTGTTTCTTTCTTTTTTTCTTGGATTCCTGTTTTTCACAAATCTCCTGGGACTTCTCGCTGTACAGGCCGACAGATTAATGGACTCTCTGTTTGGAAAAATGAGGGTAATATATCAATGTCATTTTTAGCTCTTCTCCTTTAATGTTTTTCACCCAGGCCATTCAACTGTCCAATGAATCATTCTAGCTGTTGATGCTTTTTTTATTTTTTATTTTATGCACCTCAGACAAGATGAAGCCATGGCAACCAACTATCCTTCTTGTTTCAAACAAGCTTAACAATGAACAGCTTTGACCGGGAGAGATGACAGCAGAGTGACAGTTTTTGGTTATGATTTATGACCTCGTGGTTTGTCAGTACAATCTGAGGGTCATATTGTTTCAGATGTATGGAAATTTGAATTGATCTAAATGTTGCCTTGATCAGTGTGTGAGAGGAGTCCCTACCATTAGTGCAGGCTTTTTGTATGTCTTATATTCTGCTTTTAGATTTGGCACAATGACTTGTTTGTATTGTGAAAAACTATAAAAATGTACTGATGACAAGCACAATCATGATTATTTTAGAGAAGTAATGACTCCTGTCATTGCTGTTTTTATGTATTTGTATTTTAATGCCATGATAAGTAATTCAGTTGTAAGTTATGTGATGAAACTTACTTTAAATGTTTTAATTCAGAGGTTGTTACAGTGTCGGTGATGTTGGTGTTCACACATTAACTTCATAAAAGTGGGCTAAAATCCACATTTGAAGACAATTATTTTATTCACAGATTGCACTTGTAATACATTCATTTAGATGTCAGTAAACAGTGAAATAGTTTTTTGCATCTGCTGCTTGTAGGACGTCACAACGTCACACTGCATGAGGTTTTATTTCAGCAGCAAGTATCTCAAACCCCAAGCAAACACTGACGAATGAAACATGCATTAGGTTAAACCTTCAGGCTGACATGCAGTTATAAATAATGTTTTCATTCATACACCAACATTATGCAATATTCTCCTCTTTTTTGATTTTCTTTCTAGTAGCATCAGCTGCAACAAAAAATAGCATTGTGTGTTGGCATAACTTATAATACAGTTTATTTCAAAGCAAACCAAACACTTTTTAAACCATTGCTTAATATATGAACAAAATAAAGTGATTCACATGTGCAACAAACAATTGTTTTGTTTGCTTTTCCATAGATTTTCATTATCTAGATATTTTTGTAAAGACAGTTTTAAAGGACGAGCCATTGGCATTTTGGGAAGTTTGCTCTTTGCTTCCTTGAGGGAGTTAGATGAGAGGATCAATATCACTCATCTCTGTACAGCAAAGGTGAAGCTACGATTATCTGAGCTTAGTTTAGCGCTTAGCCTAGCTTACCATAAAGACTGGAAACCGAGGGAAACAGCCAACTGGACTCTCCAAAGTTTAGAAAATCTGTTCTTGTGTGGATATAGCATGTTTTTATGTGTTTCTTAGTGAGTTCTCGAGGTGCTGGAAGGCTGATTTTTGGACAGAACCAGGTTACATGTAATAGTTGTAGTGTCATATTTAATGAACTGATATGAAGTGGCATGAATGTACTTATCTAACTTTCTGCAAGCGAGCAATTAATAGAAAGAAAGAAATTTTTAGAAAAAGAAAGCAACCAAAGTAATAGTATAATGATATCATTATAAGGTTTTCATCGGGCAAACTCATCGCTTTAGATGCGTTAGGTCTTGTGCAAAACTCATAGTAGAATTTCAATAATATTTTACTATTGGTCAGAACAGAAGATTATTTGAAGACAAGGCCTTCATGCATAATTATGTTTGATTTGTGATTTGGTCAGCCTGATTACAGAGGAGCAACATATGTCCATCTGAGGCCTGAGCTCGGTCACTGTCTCTTCATTGTTTCCATCACAGGTCTGTAGTGCTGAATGCAGGGTTACTAAAACCCATAAGAGGGTTTTCTTTCCTCTGTCCCCGCTGGGCCAGCGCTGCACCAAGAGGCTCAATGTACTCTGGTGGCCTGCTATCGTCCTCCTCTTCCTCCTGGATCATCTGCTAATGAGGAGCAGGCAAGTTTTGAAATTAGACCATATTCTAATAAAAAAGTTTTTTTTAGAAAGTGGATGGATTTTAAAATGGAAACTCACCATGTTAAGTTTTGTGCCCTTTCCACTCATGGTCATTTCATCACTGTAGTCCAGCGAGTTGAGGCTTCAGTGAAAAATAAAAAGAAGGACCAAACTAATCCTAATATGCAGAGTTTATCATTAAAAACACAGTCTTGTTTCTTAAATCAGAGTTTAGGCTTTCGATTGAAATAAAGGTGACACGGCACCGATGGGAGCTGAAAGCCAGCTCTCTGTCACAACATGCTGTAGTGAGCACACTGTGACAAAATGTCCACCTGGACACCATCCCAGTTTATTAACGAGCACTGCTACAGAGTGGAGCATGAGGTCGCACGTCACTGTGAGCCACCGCCTCGTTAAACAGTGGTGACGGGGCATATAGCTGCTGTCAGAAGATGGTGGAGAGAGTCATGCTAGTCGGAGAGGTTGTCCTTACCTGATTTTGTCCACATCTGAATTCTCCTCGTCCAAGTCCAGGACCATGGCTGTGTCGATGTTGAGGTTGAGAACAGGATTAGCCCTGTCAGAGAATAATGACATACACCCAGTCAGAAAATAAGCCATATTTCCTATTGTTCATTCATTACCTTGGATTCCTTTGTTAAAGCAGATGCTGCTGTCTCCTCACCCCTCCATGGTGTACTTGTTGGTTCCAGGTACCACAGGACCACTTTTCTGGTTGTCAGAAGTCACCATGGATGCAGAGTTCATGGCTTTAGCTGCCTTCAGCTTCCTCCTGTAGCTGTAGTATGAAGTGAGTTGATGAGTGCAAAGACACAATACCTCTCAGACGTTTTGAGATCAATGGTACTTTTGAACCTGGGGCGTGTGTCTTTACTGGGATAGACAGTATGTTTTTGTCAACTTTATTCCAAATCCCCTTTTCTTACTTTCTGCGAGTGCACAACAGAGAGGTGGTGAGGACAGCCAGCACGATGATGAGGCCTCCCACCATCCCCAGCAGGATGTAGTTTAGAGGATCTACATTTGGTTCGATCACAGCAGCCTTCCCCTGAAACAGAAGAAATATTTCTTTAGTGTAATGTTATCTGTAGACCTAAAAAAGATTCATTTACACATTTACACTTTTGCAAGCATCATTAAAGTATCCTAAAATATAAGTAAAATAAAAATACTATAATTATTATTAGTTTCATCTTCACTTGTGAATGATCGACTCACTTTATTTTTATATTTTATTTAAAACATAAAGAGTTATCTGATGTCTTGCACTTCTTCAATAAACTCCACCATCACTAAATTCTGATTATGTTTGTAATATTTAATGAAACAGAGTGAATTATGATAATCAATTGTTCAGTTGTAGTAATCCTATACAATGAATTATGGTTACATGAGGCAAATAAGTGGGGAAATGATGAATGGTCCATCAACAGTTTTGTGGATGTTGCTGAATCATAGCAGCAGTTGAGTTGTCTCTCGAGATAAACAATGTGTTAATCTGTCAAAGAAACAGATTTTAATCATTTGTGTCCCACAACAAACATTTCTACTGGGTCATTGCTTTTTTCACAGTTTTTCTAATGCACTTGGATCAGTGAACAAAGAGAAAAACAACAGGAAACTGCTGCAGTGATCGGTACTGTACTGTTACTGATGTGCTTCTTGCTCCGATTTAGTTTGACTCATCTCTTTTTCCAGGACTCACTGTCCCAGAGAGAAAAAAATGTCTCCCAGTACGGTGGAAGATTCTGCATTAACAGCAGTGGAGGAAGACGTGATGGAAAACTACTCCAAAAATTCACATGAGGAACATAAAGTTGCTGTAATTGTAAGTTGATAATGTAAAGTAAAGGAAGTATAACATGACAGAGGATTCAGTTTTAAACCTGCTGGTACTTACAATGTACATGAGGCCAAGGTCTGCCAGCACAGGATAATGCTCAGGATCAGAGACCATCTTCTCCACGTCATTAGAGGTCAGAGCTGTCCCGTTGGAGTAGACAAAATATGCCACCATGACAGTGATGTCTGATGCCCTGAGAGAAGAATATAAAGCACTCAAACACTTAATATAATGAAACCAAATCAACAATCTTAGCTTATAAATCTAAAAATCATCTTATGTTGCTGCAATTATCAGCAACTATTATCATCAAATAAGTTGTCCTCAACAGTATGATAGTTCACAGGTACGCTGCGCCACCTAGTGGACAGAAACAGTTAGTGTGGTAAGTGAAAAGCTAAAGATTATTTTGGAGTTTCTGTCAACACCAGTCAATGATTCATGATCTGTGTAATATATTTTGATGTAAGCTGATTTCAGAGGAGCTTACCTTGATGTTTCAGCAGTGTCAGCCTTGATAGCAACAACTTCAACAGCAGCCTTGGTGGCAGCAGTAAGTGACCTGGAAATGTCAAGATCAGAGAAAAAAAACTCAATGAGACCTCAATGAGAAAAGGGCTCCGTAGAAAAATGCTTCAGTTCTCTGTCGACAGATTCAGACTTTACTAAAACACAGTGTAGCCTGGAGAAATGTATACCTGATGATTTTATCACGACTCAGTTCAACGTCAGCAACGCTTTTTGTAAACTGAAGTTCAACCTTATATGTTTCATCCACTGTGAAAATCTGTAATATGTACAAAGAACAGTGTTAACAAAGGCCGGAGTCTTTACTGTCCCTCCGGTGTTTACAAAGACACTTAAATGTAAATTCAGCTGCATGACCTCAGTCACTCACTTCCAGTACGGTGTTGCTGGAGAGGCCGCCGGTATCAGTTGCAGTTACTGTTACCAAATATTTCCCCTTCAGTGACATTTCAAGCCCTTCGGTAGTTCTGTGGAAAGTTGAAGAAATCATGAGAGCAGCCGTGGGCGTGTCCTGAGACAACAGGTACAGATAATCAGCGCAGGTCTTTGTGGTCATTTTGTGTCTCTTTGTGAGGGTGTGGCATGTCTTCATCGTTGTTTTCAGTCTGTTTGTAGTCACGTTTGTGATTTTTTGTCTCTTTGTGGTCATTTAGTGTCACTTCCTAGTGGTTTAGTGTCTTTTTCAGCTACAAATTTTTTTCTGTGTCTCTTGGTTGCTTTGTTTCTCTGTTGTTGACCTGTGTTTCTTTCCAAACGCACGTTTAGAGCTGAAGGATGCATACTCGTATGATGCTGACAGACGACTTTGTACTCACTGTATAATCCCAACATAAATGTCCTTTTGCTGTGTGGTGACGGCCTCAAACAACATCCTCATCTCATTTGTGTGATTGCTGGTGTCTTGAAATTTCACTCCGGTTACTTTAAAGTCAATCTGCCTGTTTACTCCAGAGTCAGCATCAGTAGCCTGAGAGCAGCATGAGATACAAGCACGAACGTCTGTCACATATCTTGTTAACAAGATGAAATCATGTCAATTTTTTTTTTCTTTCATACTCACTGTGACTCCTGCAACTGATGTCCCTTTACTTGCACCCTCTGACACCACAACTGAAGTACACAGACAGAAAATCAGTATTAAACTCACAGAATGACAAGCAATCTTTGATTAATGTCGCTTACAAAACAGATCAATTTAGCCTCAAAGTTATGTATTAACAAGTTTTATACTAGTTCAAAGAAAAAAAAGTTTATTGGTATAAATGACTGAGCTGGGAGCAGGACGATGTCCCTTTAAATCAGTGTTTCCTAAACTGGCCATCAGGGCACATGATCCAATGATAGATGTAAGGGGTCGACAGAAAAATAAAAATCTAAAGAAAATTATCTATATGTAAACATACTATGAATAATGATAATAATAATATATTTTCTCAGATGTTTCTCAAAATAAGAGCGCTATGGACGAAATCATAACAGCTACTGAACTTCTACTGACAACAGAGCAAACTCTGTCCACTAAGAAAGGCCATGTGATATAGTTTAAAGCTCTGGGGAAAACAAAAGCTTCTAAGTTAACCATGAGTGGTGATTTCTTTTTTTTGACTTCACACGCTTGCAAGCCGTGACAATGGATCTTGAGTAGACAGCTTTAAGTTTAAGGTGTCACAAGAAAAAAAAAGACATTCGGACATTCACTCACCAAACACAGAATCTGAGGGAATGAATTCTGGAGTGTTGTCGTTCATGTCTTCAATGTTGATCACCAATTGTGCTGAAAGAGATGGAAGAAAAAGACAGTGAACCGACTTGTGTGTGACTTGTGTGCATTTGATGGTGCTTTTATTTTTTTATTTGATTTATTTGATTTATTTATAATTTTGTTATCTGTAAACAACCCAGTTCTGACCTGTTGTAATGCTGCTGTTCTCTCCCTTCTCTGTGTACTCGTCCACCACCCGAGCCTCCATCAGCGCCTGATCACATTGTTCGTAGTCCACCGTGTCCTCCGGGTTCACTCTGACTTCCCCTGATGGATCGAGGATAAACCAGCTGCAGGTTGTCAGGGAACCGTTGCATCTGCACTTGAGGGATTCCAGCTCGTACACCAGCGAGTGGTTTCCGTCTTTGTCCAGCCCGGTGAAACTCCCAATAGCCTCACTGTTGTTGGTGTTCTCCTTCACTGTCACGGGCCCTGTCGGCTTGAACTCGGGCCTCTCGTCGTTCCTGTCCACCACGTCCACCACCACTGTCACTTCAGCTTTTTTCTGCTCCAGATCTGTCGCCTCTACCCGCAGGTTGAACTGCTTGCGAGTGCTTTCGTAGTCCAACTCAATGTCAGGGTCCACAGTGATGTTTCCCCTGTAACCCAACTTGTCTGCAAATGTGCGAATGATGAAGCTGCCGAAGCTTCCATCGATGATGCTGAAAGAGATGCGGTTAAAGTCTGTCGTTTGGTCCAAATCCTCCGCGAAAACAGAACCCACATATGCACCTGATTTCGATGGAAAAATAAAATTAAAATCCAGCCACACAGTTCTGAACACTTGACAGCCATTTGCGAGGTTAAACACTGACCTTTTTCTCCTTCTTTAACACTGAATTTGTAAGACGAGGCTTCAAAGTGTGGCATATTGTCATTGATATCCTGCATCAAAAAGGAAACATTGACAGTTATCGTCCCCACCAGGAATAGCAGCATCAGTCGCAACACAGCACTGATGACTTTATCACTAAAGTCTTACCTCAACAGTGATAAAAACTGGAACCACAGTGGACAATGGAGTATCTCCCTTGTCAGTAGCAGTTATGTTGAGTTCGATCCTTCCATTCAGCAGCGGGTCCAGGGCCTCACGATCCAGGATCCCGTTGTTCCTCAACACACCGGTGTTTGGGTCGATGGTGAAGTTCCCGCTGTACATGCTTGGCATGATTCCATACACGATTTGGCTGTTTGCTGTATCAGGGTCATCTGCATCAGTAGCCTGTCCAAATGAGAAACAGTATAAGTAAATATTACAAGAACACTACAGTGTCATATGCATGCGGACATCCCGAAAGGACTCCTACATGTGATTGGTAAACATTTAATTTCAAAACTATGGGTATTAATATGCCCGTATGCTTTAAAAGCTTTCCACAAGATTTTGGAAACTGGCTGAGGCTGCAGGCATTTGCTCCCATTTAGCCACAAGAGCATTAGTGAAGCAGGGCGCTGCTGTTGGGCAATAAGGCCTGGTACTTGCTTCTTCCAGTTCACCCTAAAGGTGTTGGATAGGGTTGAGTTCAGGATTTTGTACAGGACAGTTTTAATTTTACAGTAAAAATGTGCCAAAGGTTGGGTGATCATTCATGTGGAAGCATAGTCAGTTCGCCTGCTCAGGGGCGTTGTCATGTTGAAACAGGAAATGGATCTCCCCACACTGTCGCCAAGGCGTTGCAATTAAGAATAGTACATGGAATCATTTTGATCTTTTTTTTTTTTTTTTTATAAACTGTCCTTCATGAGCCCAACAGTGTTACAAGAGTGCTATGCTAAATATGTTCAGTACTCTTTTTGCTTAGATGTAAATAGGGCCCTTTAGCTCAATCCATGAAACACATTTTCATGATGAATCAGGAATCCTAACTCTAACCCTTAAATACAACATCAACACCTATGAGATGGAAATATTTACTTTTACATTTACCTCTATCTTAACTTCAAACTGTCCACCCTCTTCCACAAACACCAGGTAAGATTCTCTGTTGATGACTGGATGCTGGTCGTTGATGTCAGTCACAGTGATCTCCAGCACTGTGGAGCCGGGTTTCTCGTCTTTGTCTTTGGCCAGCAGGGTCGCTGAATACACAGATCTGACCTCACGATCCAACAGAGTTTGGTTTTTCACATAAATGATCCCCGTATTTGGCTGCACGTCAAAATATGGTAGGCTGGAAACACAGTGGTGTTGTCTTAGTTAGCATGACAGTATAAAGCACACAGTGGCTACAATCAAATAACCAGAACAACTGTAGTTTAGGTTAAGTGTGGACACACATGCTGTCTGGAAGAAGTCTGTAGGTGATGAAGCCTTGATCCATCGTGTCAGGATCCTCTGCCTGGGGGAAAAATAATAATATGAGCCGGTAAGAGTGCCATTCAAGAGTTTCTGACATGTAAGCTCAAACTGTCTGATTAAGAAAAAAGATAGTCTAGGACTCACAGTAATTCTGGCCACTTCTGTCCCAACATCAGAGTGCTCAGTCACATTCAGCTTATATGTGTCCTCTGGGAACGTGGGGCTGTTGTCATTGGCGTCATTGATGTTAATAGTAACTGTAGCAGTGGAGTGGAAGCTGGGGTTTTCTTCATCTATGGCGACCACCTGCACCGTGGCACAAGGACAGGAAACACCTCAGACTGGTAAGGCGCTTAGAAAAATCATAACTACAATAACCAAGACGTCATTAATATTATTATCACTAACTCAAGGCACGTTTTTATTGGGTTTTTTTTACCTGCAGAACCATTTGCTGTTTTTCTTCAAAGTCTAGTTTTTGCGGCTGCTTGACCAGAAGCTGAACGAGGCTATCTGATGTGGTAAATTGAGGCTCCACAGAAAACACGTCCTTGTCAGCTCCCTCCAGGCTTAGTTTAGTTTTGGAAATCTGTCAAAATACAGCAACAATGAATCATGCTTGATTATTAATGTCACTCAGAGTTTGTAACTTATACAGGAAAATCTCATCTTTTAGTTGATAAATGTCTGTTGTCTGTTTTTTTACCTTATCAGGATCTTTGACCGTCATGTTGATGGGAACAGACCCCAGCGAGTGCTCCAAGACGTCTCCTGTGAAGTGAGTCTTCATCACACAGGCTCCTGACTCTTCACACTTGTAAAACTCCGGCTTGTTGTCATTGATGTCATTAATGTTGATAAGTACAGCTGCCGTGGCGGTGGCTTGTAACCCGTGGATGTTTGGTTTAGACTCGGTGGCCTTAAATACGACAGAGTAGAATCATTTTACTGTTTCAACATTTTACTAAAATAAATGTTGCCAATTAAACAGGTTCTCAAAACTCAGGAAGACTTAGGTTCAGGAGGTAAGATCGTGCTTCCTTCTAGTGTCTATGCATTTAAACTTGGGACAGAGCCAAGATACCTGTTTCCCCATGCTTCTGGTCTTTATGTTCAGCTATGCTAATAGTTCAACATTTTGGGATATACATTTGATTGTTTTTTTGAGATACATAAGAAGATCAATATCACACTCATATCAGTGAAATATATATGTGTGTGTGCGTGTGTGTGTAAAACCTAAACTTAAATGGACAGAAAAGGTGAGATAAAATAGTAAAGCTTTTGTCACCAGTGAACTGTATTACACTCACTGCAATACTTACAACATTGTCATTTGTTAGAAATGGGGAAAAAGCAACTTTACCTTTACAGTCAGGGTAACAGTATCACCAATAACTTCTCTGTCAATTGCTGACAACACTTTTATGACGCCACCATCTCTCGAGATCCCGAACAGGCCACCTTCTGTCGAGTCTGTCGAACGATGTGGAAAAAACAGAAACAGTTCTCACTTGCTCACTGACAAACAAGTTGTCCAAACTTATGAGTCTTCAAGTTGTTGAGGCTGACCTTCAATGCTATAGATGATCTCATCATTGACTCCTGTGTCTTGGTCTATGGCAGTCACTTTGAACACAGACGAGTCCTGGCAAAGAAAAAATAAAAGTTTCTGAAACCTGAAGTTCCTGAGAGTCTCCTCATTTACACACAAACAGTATGGAAACTCACTGCAGACTTAGTGCCTGTAGATTTGTGTCATATCACACCATGATTTACAGCAGCTTTGCCACATAAAATGGACAGAGATATACATTACAGGTCACATACAGTTGTGTGAAAAAGTGTTTGCCCCCTTCCTGATTTCTTATTTTTTTGCATGTTTGTCACACTTGTCACAATTGTTTCAGATCAAACAAAATTTAAATATTAGACAAAGATAACACAAGTAAACACAAAATGCAGTTTTTAAATGAAGGTTTTTATAAAGGGGAAAAAAATCCAAACCTACATGGCCCTGTGTGAAAAAGTGATTGCCCCCTAAACCTAATAACTGGTTGGGCCACCCTTAGCAGCAACAACTGCAATCAAGCGTTTGCGATAACTGGCAATGAGTCTTTTACAGCGCTGTGGAGGAATTTTGGCCCACTCATCTTTGCAGAATTGTTGTAATTCAGCCACATTGGAGGGTTTGAGCATGAACCGCCTTTTTAAGGTCATGCCACAGCATCTCAATCGGATTCAGGTTGGGACTTTGACTAGGCCACTCCAAAGTCTTCATTTTGTTTTTCCTAAGCCATTCAGAGGTGGACTTGCTGGTGTGTTATGGATCATTGTCCTGCTGCAGAACCCAAGTGCGCTTCAGCTTGAGGTCACGAACAGATGGCCGGACATTCTCCTTCAGGATTTTTTGGTAGACAGCAGAATTCATGGTTCCATTTACCACAGCAAGTCTTCCAGGTCCTGAAGCAGCAAAACAGCCCCAGACCATCACACTACCACCACCATATTTTACTGTTGGTATGATGTTCCTTTTCTGAAATACCGTGTTACTTTTACGCCAGATGTAATGGGACATACACCTTCCAAAAAGTTCAACTTTTGTCTCGTCAGTTCACAGAGTATTTTCCCAAAAGTCTTGGGGATCATCAAGATGTTTTCTGGCAAAACTGAGATAAGCCTCTATGTTCTTTTTGCTCAGCAGTGGTTTTTGTCTTGGAACTCTGCCATGCAGGCCATTTTTGCCCAGTCTCTTTCTTATGGTGGAGTCATGAACACTGAACTTAATTGAGGCAAGTGAGGCCTGCAGTTCTTTGGATGTTGTTCTGGGGTCTTTTGTGACCTCTTGGATGAGTCGTCACTGCGCTCTTGGGGTAATTTTGGTCGGCCGGCCAATCCTGGGAAGGTTCACCACTGTTTCATGTTTTCGCCATTTGTGGATAATGGCTCTCACTGTGGTTCGCTGGAGTCCCAAAGCTTTAGAAATGGCTTTGTAACCTTTTCCAGACTGATAGATCTCAATTACTTTGTTTCTCATTTGTTCCTGAATTTCTTTGGATCGCAGCATGATGTCTAGCTTTTGAGGATCTTTTGGTCTACTTCACTTTGTCAGGCAGGTCCTATTTAAGTGATTTCTTGATTGAGAACAGCTGTTGCAGTAGTCAGGCCTGGGTGTGGCTAGAGAAATTGAACTCAGCTTTCCAAAGATGTGATAAACCACAGTTAATTTATGTTTTAACAGGGGGGGGGGGGCAATCACTTTTTCACACAGGGCCATGTAGGTTTGGATTTTTTTTCCCCTTCATAATAAAAACCTTCATTTAAAAACTGCATTTTGTATTTACTTGTCTTATCTTTGTCTAATATTTAAATTTGTTTGATGGTCTGAAACATTTAAGTGTGACAAACATGCAAAAAAATAAGAAATCAGGAAGGGGGCAAACACTTTTTCACACAACTGTAGCTGTATGTAAATTAGAATAAAGCGCAGATGTCACACAAAGAAATGTGAAAATGCGTAATATACTGTTTTAACTGGATGGTGGAATACACCGGATGAAATATTGATGGTAAAAGGTTTATTTCCTTTTTAGTCAGTCTTTGAAAATAAACTGTTAAGCACATTTTCTGATGCAGCATCCTGAATGAAATCCATCAGCACTCACCAGAGGGGAATCCTCCGCAACTCTCGCTATGTAGGGAAGACTGATGAACTGTGGGTCCAGGTCTGGGACATCCACAACCGTAATGAAGGAAAATGCAATACTTGAGAAGAACTTATTTTCTTTAAAATGACACCGGCCTCCACCATCCTGTTATGAGACACACAAAGTTGTTGAAATTCAAACCCATTAGGCAGCTTGTAATAGAAGAATGTGTTTGCCACAATAATAATTATAGACTCATTAAGTGATTATTATTGATTCATTAAAAGATCGATGAGAAGATAATGATTTTTAATTACTAATAAACACGATATTTAAATTCTAACTTATTGAAATCTATGCATGAAAGCATGTCCAAAGCACTCAACAGCAATAATAACAAACAATAACAAAAAGTAAGATTTAAAAATCAAACACTTGAAAATTGTTTTTACATTGCATTTGCATTCATTGCATCAAATAATGTACATATATATATATATATGATTATACATGATAATACATGATAATACATGATTAATTCACTGGTATATTATTAAATATGCCAGTGAATTAATCATGTATTATCATATAATTCATTATTTGATTAAAGTCATTTATAATGTTGGATTATGTTGGACAGGAGGGCATAACAATAGGTGGGCACCCAGACATGGACCCACGATAGGGGTGAGTCAGAGTATAAGAGTTGATGCACAGATGAGACAATCTAGTTTACTCCTTGGACGAAACCAGTTCATTGCACTGGTTGACTTTTTTTGCAATAAACCTAACATCACATTGAACTCAGAAGGACTGTTTGTGTTTCAATTGAGACTTCAAATCGTGTGGTGGAGGCTCTGAACCCATCTGGCCCTGGTGAAGATTTCTCTCCCACACTGGCTGTTTCCCACTGTTTCCAGTCTTTAAAAATATAAATTATTATTATTATTGCTTTGAGGAGTCAGTGAAGCATGAGACTATATTAAGAGGTGTTTGGATAGATGATTAGGGCATATTAAGTTTTAAGAGATGCTTTGCCATTAGTTCCACTTTTCCTTAATCATGATTTGTGTCAAATTAGGGCTAATACATAACACCCAAACTCAACTAGAAGCATAATACTTACAGTTGCGTTAATCTTAAGCCGATAGAAAGTGCTCAGTGCAGTATAATTCAGAAGTCCGTTTAACTTGACTTCACCAGTTGTGCTTACGATGCTGAACAAACCGAATCCCTCATTTGGAGTAACCTAGAGAACAGAGTGAAGTTGAAGCTTTAATAATATTTATGGAACATCACAATATAATATCAATGAATGGATTTATTGAGGAAGCTTACTTCATCAATGCTGTACTGAACAACACCAGCAGTTCCAGTGTCTGCATCAGTGGCCTGCACTCTAAACAGAGTTGTACCTACACTGGTATTCTGATTAATTGGATGGGGATAAAAGAAAAAAGAACCCGAAGATTAAACACAGATATGTCTCTCAGCATTAACAAGTTGATGCTGACATCATGATGGATTGGGAACTTGATGCTTTTCTCTCACAGTCTTGGTGTACATGGTAAAACAGACGTGAACAACATAACATGCTGAAGTAGGAAAACTGATTAACAAAAAGGTTATTAACTGAGATATGACTGACTTACTTCTGGGATCTGAACATCATATGAAGACTCCTGAAATATGGGTTTGTTGTCGTTGGCCTCTAATAATACTAGATTTAATTGTCCTGGTGTCTGAAAGACATTGCATGATGCACTATATCAATATGATGAACAGACTGATATGAAATGGGTGGTTAACACTAAATTACATGTTACTTACATTATTGGGACCATCAGAGACTTCAACTTCAAGCTTCATTAAGTCACCACTCTATAATGAAAAAAGAAATAAAGACAAATAAATAAATTTATAAAATACAAACACAAATAACCAAAAGGAAGTTGTTGGTCTCCTCTTCTACCCCACCATACCTCTCTATCTAGGGCCCTATTGACTGTTACAACCCCAGTGTTCCTGCCAACAGTGAAGTAAACAGCATTGGGCCCAGTGAGCGTATAGGTTAGTGCGTCACCTTCTGCGTCACTTGCGTTTATAGTAAACGCATAGCCACCTGTAAAAACATCAGTGGAACATGCAATAAAAAGGTGTGCAGGCATAATATCACAAGTGGAATAAAAACATTTAATATTTCACACACATGCATACCTATGGGGATGTCTTCACACAAATTGTAAAGGAAAGTCTGGATTGCAGGACTGGTATTTGCTGCCAAAACACACAGTATTTAAGTATTAGCTGGTGAAGTAAAGACATAATGACAAAATTGTTGGCAATAATTAAGTAAAATCAACTGAATACTCACCATTAGTTAAGCCGATGAGGCACAACAGTAGAATACTTCCTGTGATCCCCTCCATGTCTGTAAATGAAAAGAAAGAGAAATCTTATAAGCAAGATGGTTAGACAGTAGACCCAGTGAGCTGCACTCTAAGGTGGACACCATGGCAAAGCTAATATGCTGCTGTTTAGTCAGTATAATGTTTGCCATGATCACCATGTTCACCATCTTAGTTTAGCATGTTAGCATGCCAATATTTGCTAATTAGCACTAATACATATATAAAAATATAGAGCTGGATATGAGCATAATAATAATCCCCTTTCAGAACAGCTGAGGCTGATGGGAATGTCAGTCCTTGCACACATTTGGTGAAACCAAACATATCAACCTGCTGGTGGCGTTAGATGAAAAGTCTGAGGATCACCAAAGTCACAAGGATTTATGCTAAAGAAAAAAACGCTGTAAAGAAATTCATCTATCCCATAGTTGTTGAGACTGACAGACCAACAACTGCTATCAACTTAGATCCATCCAACTTCTCAAATGTGAATCTTTGGGGCTTTTTTCTGATCTAAATCAAAATTGTTATTTTTGTTTATATGTTTATTTCCACATTGTACTCACCGGCAGTGGTGTAAACACCTGCTACAATATAACATTACTGAGTGGCGAGCTATAACATGTTGGAAAGTTTCATTTACAGAGAAAAGCAGAGAAGGGGTCTGCCCTGTGTGATTTCCTCTTTAATACAAATAAACTTAGAGGAACATTATGAGAGAAGCACAGCTGAAGCTAATCTTTAACAGACCAAAATCAAGTTGTAAATTTGTTTGATTTTACAGTCATCATTCAGTTAGAACATTTTAATTATGCTTTATTTAGGGAATCGTCCTTGAAGGATTGAATGGACCCCCATTATGTGAATGACTGAGGCTTTTTTCAGCTTTAAGGGTTTTGCCATTAGTTCCACTGTTTCTACTTGGACTAATATAAAGTTCATATCTGCCTTGTTGCAGGTTTTGGATGTTATAAGCGATGATAAAATCATAATCAATATGAGAATAAACAGGTTTTTAATGCTGTGATTTCTGAGGATGAATCACCTGGTATAACCTTGCTTCTCTGAATCATTCCATTTTAAAATGTAACGCTCAAAAAATAAGTATAAACTGTAACTGTAATCAACAGTTACACCATTTTTACCACACTAGATCAAAGAGACACAATTTCAGCACATTAAACACATAATATAGAGAATAATTTTGTTCATTTTGTAATCTTATCCGAGTTATACAGTCATTAAAAGCAACGCAGTAACATTTAAAAAGCATAAAAGTAATTTACAATGCAGAAGTTAGACTTACCAGACAACATTCACAGGCAAGCTTCTCCTTTACTGACGTCTGGATGAGACCTTTGGCTCTTGTTCGTCTAAGTGATTACCGTCACACAGTTGTAAATATGAATGATTAACACATATATAAACATAACACAGCACTTAACCTCCTCCTAGCTCCTCCCTTTGTGTGTTAGACAAAACACCCAAAAGCATCTTACTGACTACAAAAGGTTAAATAGATCCACTTTTCAAAATGCCCACCTGTTGTTTGCCCTCCCACATGGCTACATTATGGCTGTTTAAGCCGTGGTAGTAATGAGAGACAGGTCCCATGCAGCAATCTACTCACCCCAGCATTGGCTGGCCAGCCCTGTCATCAGGAATACATGGCATTGTGCCATGCTGGGTCACCAGTGTCCATACCCAAACCACAGAAGCATGTGAACCACTCTTTTGTCTGAATGGGTGCTTCTGTTGTCATGGCAACAACAACAGTCTCATTGCTTCCATTGAGAAACCCTGATGTGACCAGGGGCCTTTCTAAACCGTGTCTCCTCAGAAGCAATCATTGGACCCATGCCTTTTTCAGAAAGCACAGATTTATGCACCCCCCTAATGAGCTCTTCCCAATAAAACCCCCGCCTGTCCTCCTAATTAAAGGGCACAAAGGATTATCTTCTCTCGTACCCACTGGCTTCATTCATAATCAGACATTTGCCTCAAAACAAAAGCACAACACTAAACCTATTTACTCTGACTGGTGTTTTTCATTTCTCATGTTTTAAATGGGTTTTATAGAATGAGCATACACATGAAAACATACTTGGAAACCCTAACATTTAGGCTACATTTACAGTAAATGATTCTTTCTGCTGAAAAATGTGGCTGTTGCTATTCATTGTGAAATATTTGAGAGAATTGACATTTCAATAGAGATAGGCTACAAATGTTTTGTCACAGTCACACTAGAGGCTCTGAGAAGCTGTAGGCTGCTAAGCTAACGTGCTGATGGTGTAATGTTTACCAAGGTTACCATCTCAGTTTAGCGCGTTAGCATACTAACTTTTTCTAATTAGCATTAAACACAAAGTACAACTGAGGAATGGTATCAGGTTTTTTTTTCAAATATGTGGCTCAGAAATGGGAATCTTGACCTGAATGTAGTGCCACAAGAAAAGTCAGGGGATCACCAAATATATTACAGTTCATCCTGAGAGGGACATGAATGTCTGAACCAACTTTTAATTCATTCAATAGCTATATTTCACTCAAAATAACAAATGTGAACCTCATGGTTGCCTAAAGTCAGGGGATCACCAAAGACATATGAGCTCGCTGATTGGTCTGGTTTCCAGGCTACTAAATGTGAATTAAATAGAAGTCATGTCCCTTTTGTCCATAAAAACAGGATAATGATGCTGATTTGTTCAATTTACCTAAATGTGTCAAAGGTTGGAAAAATATCAAAGTTGGTCAGTTTGGTGAAAAGTAGGCTTTTTTAATCACTTCTAGAGATAATGGTTTGTGTGTGTGACTGGGAAATCATTTAGTTAGTTTAACAAACTATGAAGAGGTAAACAGCCAAAACAAATGTGCTGAAAACCACAAAAATATTATCATTCAAAGCTTACTCACTTTGAATATTGATGACAGATATCCCAGAAATCTGTTCCTTAATCTTATCCAATTAGACTTTGGTTTATGACTTACAGTATTGAACATAACACTGCCACTGCTGACCGGGCAATGGAAATGGGTGGGAACATAATAAAACACTGCTTAAGCAATAAACAGAATCTAAGTTTTAAAATAATCTAACTTTAACTTGAATCATCTCAGGGTGTTGTCTCTCCACATAGACAACATGATAAAATAAGTCCTGATAAGTAATGATGCACACATTTCTCTTCTTTTTTCTTTATTCCTTTTCTTTGGGACTTTTTTTTCCTTTCAGTACATAAAAGTATAATTTTTGTTTTCCTTGTGGAGGAACTATATTACACTACTGATGTGTTGTTTTATTCACTTCCTTGGCACTGAGGACTTTGCTTTTTAGGGGTAAATAATTGAGTCTCTGTGTACATATTTTTTTAACTTGTTTATTAATACCAGATGTAATAATTAACAGATCACAAAACATTTAAATGAATTAGAGTCATTAAGATCTAACATAGGTTAAACTAACCTCTTGTGAAAACTGTTATCACTAAATTAGTTCCCCACACAATCAAAAGAACAGAAAATCATAACATACACTGTAAAATAATTTGTTTTGAGCAATAAAGGAACTCCTAAAAGTTGAATAAAAAAGCATCTGTAGCATCCCTGGCACACATAAAAAGAGTCATAAAGAGAGATAATGTTTATTAATTTATAGAAGACTTGGTAGTTTCCAACAGATCTTTCCAAAAAAGAACTTTTCATATTATGGTATCACGACATAATCAACAATATATTACACAAACATTACTAAGGAGCAGTGGGGGAAAGTAACTAATTACTCCAGCCTGTACAGAGGTACATACATACCTACATATTCTGCTACTTTATACTTGTACTACACTACAATAGGCTACTTAGTAGTTGCTTTGAAGATTATACTTACAAAACATACTATAAATCATAAAACTAACTTTACCTCGACCTACAACATCATAGACTAATACTGTTTGTTCTTTTTTTTTCAAAATGTATGATTATAATAAAACAATAATATATCATATGCAATTTTACCTTCGATACTTTAAGCAAATGTTGCTGGTAACAGGTTCTGTACTTTTCTTTAAGTAAAAATTTGAATGCGTGACTTTACTTGTAACAGAGTATTTTACACTGTGGCACATTACTACTAGCCTACTTTTAGTTCAAGCTTCTTGAGTGCCTCTTCTCGGGATACAAATGAGCGCTTTTCAAAGGCGACAATGAACTTTCGAGTCAGACCGACACACTTTTTTCTGTCCATTACGGTAAAAATGGCAGCACAGCGTATGCTCTCCGCTCTGGAAATACGCAGAAATGGGGGTGTAACAGGGAACTGCAGAAACCCAAAACAACAGTGGGGCTGGATAACCATTTTCAAAACAAAATAGCGGCGATTACGGAAGTAATATCGGGGGTTGTAAAGCCACAAACTCGCGCAATATTCAGACAGCATGTGGTGATAACACGAAAGTCTAATGTTTAGCACCTTTTTTGCAGCAGTGGTGAAATCCACGGAATGTTCCACACGGGAACAGCTGACCATAGGATGCCGCACTTAGCCTAACGAGATGTGAACATTACAAGGAAAATATCAATGATCAGATGCTTGCATATTAACAATCAGGTAACTACACTGCTCCTCTTGTTATTGCTTCGTCTCGGTTGAATTTTGGAGATATACGGTGCGTGTTTACGGGAGATGGTTAGACGGGTTATTAGGGCTGTCATCCTGCTCAACCTCCAGCCCCTCCTTGTTTTGCTGCTACCGAGTGCGATGTTGTAATGTTTACATTTAGTCTGTGTTGCATACCCCAGCTCCTCTCCTTAGTCAGCTTTTCATTTGGTGCTTACTTTTGGATCCATTCAGAAGACTAGATGTGCTCCAGTGCTTTGCAGTGAAGCAGTCAAAACAGACGAAGACATTATTTATTAACTCTTACTGGACAAACTGGGCCTGATAGGTAGCCTACAAGGCCTAATAAAGCTTGGTAAATCTCAAGTGCAAGATCACATCTAATCTTTTGTAGCTGCATTCGCTGTCCTACAAAGCCATAAATGAAGAATTTCGTATAATAGCTGATGGGGGGTGTTTCTCACTTGATCATGCAAGTGCAATATTACATAACCGACTGGGTAGTCTACAGTAGGACACTGTGGCCTCCAGTGGGAGTCAAAACACACTGTAGGCCACTTTAGAGTTACAGAACTACAGTAAAGCAGTTTATTCTACAAATAAACAGTTGGGGTATATGGGCTGAATCAAATGCATTAAAGTGCAATTTTACTTTTGGTTTCAATTGATCACTAATGATTTTGTTCTTGAAGTGTTGCCACAAGAGAGATGGCAAATTCCCACACTTTTCTGGTAGATGATGCTCAGAAGGCTAGATATTAGACCAGGTTCTTTATTTACAAACAGTTTGACCAATGGACACCTATTCAGATAAGATTTTATTTTTACTTTTAATGACAGTCAGTGGTGGAATAACTGCACATCAGTTATTAAATAAAATTACCTCACTATAAAGATACAACATCAAAAGTCAAAGTCCTATCTTCAAACTTTTATTCAGATAAAAGTACGGAAATGTTATCAACAAAATGCACCTGAAGTTTCAAAAGTTAAAGTATTCATTGTACAGAACGTATTCTCTCAGTGTTACTTAATAATGCTGGATAATTATCACTATTATTATTACTGTTATTATTACTAATGTATATGTTTTGAGGTGGAGCTGTAATTTAATTAACTATTCGTTCATTCCATCTATAACAATGCATGGTATTTTATAAAATGATTTAGTATATTAAATAAAAAAATTAACTAGAAAGGTAACTAGCTGCTTAGTTAATGTAGTGGAATGAAAAGTACAGGATTCCCCTCAGACATAATGAAATAGAAGTAGGCTTAATGCAATGACTCACGTGACGTACCTCAAAATTGCACTTTTAAAACAGTACTTGAGTAAATGTACGTATTTACTTCCCCCCTCTGATGACTATTATTTCTAAAAGCACTGTATGGCTGTCTATGCTGTAGGTGACAAGATACAGTAAGGACAGAATAAAAAACATCAGGTCAGAGTACTTATTGTTTCATTGGGCTTAGCATTAGTGTATCGACATTTAATTAGATAATGTTTTAACTAGTTTTTGACCATGTAATCTCTCAGAGGCTCATTGTTTATAAACTACAAATAAAAAGAGGAACTGCTTGTTTAGATACATTGTAGCCAAGACCGTCTGGATGTCTGCTGTCTGTGTTTGCTGCGCGCCGATTGGTCGCTGAGGAAAGGAGGCGTGGTTTCGTCATAACAATGCATTTCAAGGAACATACACGCGCCAAGGAATGTTTTCTGTCTCTGTGTCGCTAACCTTGTCGTTTCACTCGTTTAACGGTATCTCCCTGCTCAAGTAAACGTTGCCGTTAACGGAAGGACGTTTTGTGGTTTCTGGAGAAAACGGATTCCCTATGCAGCAGTTGGAAGTGTTGTGTTAGCTGGTTAGCGTTAGCAAGCTAATAGCAGCTCCGTCGGGGACATTGTCAAAAATCTGTCGGAGGAAACAGCAGTCGATTGATAGTCAGTTAACGTCAGTTTCTACAGGGTGATGGTGGTCGGTTACATGCAAGGATAACTTCATGGGACACGACGTATCGGAGACTGAAACACCTGCCATCTCCCCTTCTCACCGAGCAAGCAAACTAGCTAAGAAAGTAAGCTGTGGGCTGTGTTGTTGGCCAACTTACATAGCTAAACGTGTCCATACAATGCTGGTCTCTGTGTGTGGTGTAAGATCTTGGCTACATGGCGAGAATACACAGTGATAGCTAAAAAAATGTCCTAGCCATATTTAGCATGTTGGCTAAGTAGCCTGCTACACATCTGCAGCTGAGCCCTGCTATGTTTGGACAAAGCGTTAGCCTAGCCTGGCTAAAGTTAGCAGCTCCCCTTCAACAGGGGACGTCGAATTTCCTCTGGTAGAGAGGAACCAGCGGCTGCAACAACGATAATGTTTCTCATTTCCGCAGCCATGTATGCAGGGCGTTGCATAATACTCGCAAGAAAGGGTGTATTGGCACAGTAGCCTCCCAAACTGCATGCGTATGGTCTGCTTGCCTACTACATCTTTTGTTGTTGCTTTGTCTTTTGAGCACATGGCTTTCCATGTTTTTGTTCAGGCAGGCTACAGCGACCCCTATTTATTCTGTCCCCGATTACGCCGTGTTAATTACACTGCCACTTGAATACTTCTGAATACACTATATTTTAGCCTTTTGGTTAAGCTCAACACCCTAAAATTAAAGATGTAACTACTGAATGTTTATAGCTGAACAGAGATACGTGTGTGATGCGTTTTTCTTCATTAGACATGACATGAATTTAGCTATAAATGGCCTAGATCTTCATCCTGATTACACACCTGTAGCTGACAGCATGCCGTTATTTGTCTCAGAATTGGTTATAACATTGTTTAGGTGTATGAACCTTGTTTTTTCCATTAATAAAGCACTAATTCAGAAGACAAATATTTTAGTGAAACAACAGTCATCATGGGAGGCAATGTAGAATTATATATTATCCAGAGAAATTACCACAGGACTTGGGAGTATTTTTGAACATGTAGCTTTCACTGTCAAAAGGCATCTAGAAATGGTAGTGAACTGGTCTTGCAGACCAACCGTATGTTAATCCATGTAAAGAGTGCAATTAACTGTCACCATGCAATAGTACAGTGTTTGTTATGTAGGCAATTTTCAATAGAATATAAGAAGCCTGAATAAGGTCAGTGAAACTGAAATGTAGAAGTGAAATGTATGATTCAATGAATATAATTTTCCCTGAACAAAAGCAAGTGCCCACATGCTTTTGCTTTAGTGAAATTTGAGGTCACATACATTTTCTCTTTAGAGCACAACCGATTTAATGTTGGATCGGATTCAAATTGAAGTCCAGATACCTCAATGGTCCTCAAATGAACAATAATTTAATTTTACTATTTTTTCAACCCCTATTTCATTAGCATGTAATTATATGATTATATTTTACATCATCATTTCTATTCCCACTGGGGTGTGTGGTATAACATCTGAAATTCAGGATTTTTGTTACAGGGTCCCTAAATCTGATTGGCACTGTACACATTGTGCTTGTTATCTCGCAAATTACTATTGGAAAACCATGATTTTTAATTATTTTTTTACTTACTATTATGTAATGACTAGACTGTGTGCTCAGTGGATAGCTAAAGGAAATGGTAAGCTCTTAAGCATAAGAAGCAAAATTGTTAATTTGTCAATTTGTTGTGTTTTTTTTTTCAGGGTTAAGACAATCAGAGGCAATATACAAGTGCCTCCACTGTACCGTTTCCTTTCCCAGAGTGTGACTCGTCTGCACGACGTCACCAATGCGACCATGGGAAATAGCAGTAAATAGGATTTTGTAATTTTGTTTTTTTTTTTTTTTACAGGGTTAAGACAATCAGAGGCAATATACAAGTGCCTCCACTGTACCGTTTCCTTTCCCAGAGTGTGACTCGTCTGCACGACGTCACCAATGCGACCATGGGAAATAGCAGTAAATAGGCTGCCACCAACAGCCCCCTTAAACCCGAGGAGGTTCCTTGGAGAGCCCTGCAACGCGCCAGTGCATCTCAGGAGAAGGTAAAATCTCTGCCCTGTCTTTCCTTAAGTCATTGTTTCTTTTAAAGATAGTTTTATTTATTTTGTTGTATCCAACAATTGAGATTGAGATACTTTCAAAACATACTTTTGTGTGGGACTCTGTACCTTACCCAGCACTCAAAAATATGACACGTTTATCCACAAAATACATAAAATTTCAAAGCAAAAATATTGCTACATTGTGTATCAATAGTATGCTATTAATCAGTGGCACATTGATACAGTTTCATTCATTTTTAGATGGAAAAACATCAATGTTGTGACTCTGATTAATTTGCAGTGTTAAATGATGTTAAATGACGTTTAAATGATTAATGTAGAAAAGCAGAGGTGCACAGAGATTAAGGCAATGAGGGAACAAAATGCTGTCCATTTACCTGAGAAGTTTAGAGGATTTATAGGGATGATGTATTGAAATGTGGCAATCATTCATTTATTTCTATATGATCTTACAGCCCACCAGTCAGACGCCAGTGGGGGAGACGAGACAGACCTGTACTGCACACTTCCCTGGTCCAGGATGAGAACTTCCATCATCTGCTTTTCTCCCAGCATCACCAACAGGTTCCTTTAGATGAGTCCAGACAATACAGCCACACCAGCACACCACCACGCATGCTTCACCCTGCTGCTCACCTGCCCCAGCAGAGCCCCATCATGGTGGATCTACATGACCAGGTAAAAGAACCAGAACAGAAGTTAGAAAAGAAGAAGAAAAGAAGTTATAATATTTATTGAGTATGATTTGCTGTCTTGCCCGACCAGATGTAGTAGTAATATGAAGATTTAATATGAAACATACAGGGTGTGGTGTAGTTGTATATAATGAGTTCTTTCTGGCAGACAGGTTTCTGTTTTAGGCAGATTGTGGAGTCACCCTATCTCCCCTCCCTCCCCACTTTTTTTCTTAAAAGATGCACCAGGGATCAGTTCCAATATCATACACTGTTACGACGGTGACGACCCACGGATTTCCCATCCACACCGGGCAGCCCCTTCCAGGGTGCAACACTCAGCAGCTCCCAGCATGCTCGGTAATGTTCAGCGGACAGCTCTCTCTGCTCTGCTGCCTTCCTCCTCCTGTGAGTTTAAAAAGGAAGAGCCCAAATGTCAGTGGCATCCATGTAGCACATCATACCAGCCATGCAATCTGTCACTGTTCATGACTAACAAATAAGCTGCTGCTGTTACTATGTAGGCTTTGTAATGTAGTCTTGATGTTGGCACAATTATGCCACAAAAATATGATTCTGTTGTACATTTAGTTTGTTATTTGCGAAAACAAAACAGACTTCAGAAAAATAACTAGTGTGGTGTTGTGGAAATACTGTCAGTGCTCTGGTTTTATGTAATGCATCGCCTCTGTTCACTACACGCTTACAACATGCTTTCATTGTAACTGCCTTACTGTGAATATGAGGAGCTCATTTACTTTGGTTAGGTGGAGGCTGCTTCAAAGTGTTGATATAAACATAAATCCTTAAAGAAAATGGACTTACGTAAATGTATGTCCCTTGTGTTTTTTTCTCTCTCTTCAGCTCATACAGGCATGTACCATGCAGCATATGCCAGTGTCTTATCAAGCCTTTCCACCCCTGATCTCCAGCGAACATTTTGTATTGCACCCAACCCCATCTGTACCCCCCCACCAGCCGCCGCACCTTACTCCTTTGAGCCAGTTTGTCCCTTTACAGCCTCAGCACCCACGCATGGTGAGTAGTTAACATTGTACACGTTTATCAGTGAAAAGACAGTACAGTGCATGTAGAATGGAATCACTAGTTTGTTCATTTGCATACATATTTTGAGTCTAATAGCAGCATTTCCTCTATCCTCTCAGCCTCTACAGAGGGTAGAGAATGAAGTTGACCTAAGAGGGGACCAGCACCCATTAGGGACCTTCTCCTACCCTCCCTCTCATCACCCACCAGCGCTGCCTCCTTCTCTGCCCCTGCAGTATCTTCCTCAAGAGCCTCTGCATCAGGAGCTTCCCTTCGGAGTGGTAAGACCACCTCTCAGGCATCTTTGGCCCATTATTTCTCACAGAAATTGACAGTGCACTTAAAACTCTATTTAGCATGGCCTGCCCCTAACCTGTTCATATCAAAACATTCACAGATGGAGGCTGTCCAGTACACGTGGTATCTGCAGGCCTCGACAAGTCTTAAAAATAATTGAATTCAGAGTATTTTACTTTAATATATTAAAAACTTTTAAAGTTGTGATACAAAAATCTTATACCGTTTGTCTTACCAGCCATAGGCAGTAATGTTAGTTGTTAGATGTATCTGACTGTGGGCTGTTGGGAGAAGTTACACACTTGTAAACTAAAAGTGGGATTGCTTAAACAGTGTATTGTGTGCACAGGAGCCTGCTAAATCCTTTTTTTGTTCAATCAGCACCATTAAATCAATAGCAAACAATGTCAAAACTGCTAGCCACAATAGCTAGGATGATCATCATCCCATAATGGGCAAGTGTTTATTTCTAATAAAAACTTCAATGAATTTAAATTAATGTATCATTTTTAATTGGTTATTCCATCCATCCTGTTTTTATCTTGCTTATCCACGTTACATGCGCTGCTGTATTTCTCTCAGTAGAAATTATAACTTGTCAAACACAGATGTAACTAATAACATTAGTTGCTGCATTGCATTGCAGTAGTTGCTTGAATAGATTATTCATCTTGTGCAGGGGAAAGTGTAAATAAATTAAAATAAGTGTTAGGATATATTAATAAAGCTAAAATGTGGCAAGACCTGCTAATTAAAAAGGGTACAATATTACTTTGCTTAACAGTAGCATTAAGTAGTCACATTACTCATTACATTACCTGCTATTCCTCAGCACAGCTCTGTCAAACATGCAGCAACTCCAGAGCTACCACATGTTTCGTCTTCTACTTTTAACAGTCATAGTTTATACTTGGACCTTTAATATACTCACTGAAATTTGTAATTGTAATCCCATACACAACTTGCTACCAAAACAAATGTCACAAAGTATAACATTACTGTATTGCTGCGCTTGTTGTTAAGGGTTTTTTTTTACTAACTTTGCAGTCAGACTATGGAAACTGAAGATACTACATAGATAGAGGTCGTTCACTTTAATCACAGACTTGTAATTTTCATAATTTCATTGATCTGTGTTTCTCCACAGCCATATCCCCACATGTTGCCCCGGCGAGTGAGCGGACAGAGATACCGCTTGCAGCAACCTCTCCCCCCTCCTCCACCTCCCCCATCTTATTACCCAGGCTTCCTCCCTTACTTCCTGTGAGTACCTGTGGTTATTTACTTGAATGTAAAATGCCAAATAATACTAAGTTACTGGCCTCAGTGATCACAGGGTCTACTATTTGTGTCAGAATACTGAAGCTGAGTCGGTGTGCTGTCTTTAGGTTTCTCATCTCAGCTATTCAGAAATTAATGACAAAGTGACAGAAACAGTGATTAACTGTAGTTACCATTTTTTGCTGGTATTTGAAGAACTGGTGCTGCTTATGATCACAGTGAAAGTTTGCTCAGCAGGTTATGTCTCTCTTCCTCTGCTCAGGTCAATGCTTCCTGTGCCTCCAACAGCAGTGGGCCCAGCCATCAGTCTAGACCTGGATGTGGATGATGTGGAGATGGAGAACTATGAGGTTAGTGTGGTGGTGAGAGGAAAACTTAATATACACCAAAGGGTTGGAGTGCTTTTCACTGAGAATGACTAAGTGTCCATTAGTCTAAACTTGGTTTTAAGTTTTTGGAACAGTTAAGGGCACTAGATGTACTATTTGCTAATTGAATATGACCTCTGATTTTGCAGAATTCGTGTAAAAGTGTAGGGATTCACATAAAGTTCTCATTTTTATATCTAGTCAGAAATTGTAAACGCTAGAAATAACACCAGACATCTTATCTAAAGGAAGGTTACCTCTTTCCTTTTTTCATTATTTTATATCTCAAAGGTTAAAGGTGTGATATTCTCTCTCTCTCTCTCTCTCTCTCTCTCTCTCTGTAGGCATTACTGAATCTGGCAGAGAGGCTGGGTGAAGCGAAACCACGAGGACTCACAAAAGCAGATATAGAGCAACTTCCGTCCTACAGATTCAACTCAGAGAATCATCTATCTGAGCAAACGCTGTAAGCCTTTTCCTCAACCACTTATATTCAGTCCATATAAATGCATCTTCATCCAGCTCATTTTTCCCCTTCTTTCTCTCAGGTGTGTTGTGTGCTTTAGTGACTTTGAGTGTAGGCAGCTACTTCGGGTATTACCTTGTAACCACGAATTCCATGCCAAGTGTGTGGATAAATGGTTAAAGGTAAGTTGATGTTAGTTTTAAGACTTAAACCATTAAAATTTTTTCTCATTATTTTGTGTGAGTACTGTAATTTATAGTGGTTGATGTTCTTATACATCATGTTGTTTGCACTTTACTTCCAGACCAATCGCACTTGTCCTATCTGCCGAGCCGATGCCTCGGACGTACACCGGGAGGTGGAGTGAGAACTGTCTCTGAGTGCTGAACTGGAAAGCTGTACACACCAGAGTCTGTCCCAAAGCTGGGGACACCTGCCACCTAACCTGCGTCCTCCAGTAAATATAGCTTACCAACCCACTACTTCTGCCCCCTTCCTAAATAATAAGCAATCCAGGATTGTTTCTGGAGCCTGTTGTACCTCTGCTGTGCTTCATGGTCTGAGTCTCATGAAACCCACTGCCTATTGCAGCCTATAGCCAGAGTTCTGGGATCGCCAGCCAGTTCTTTCTCTGCCCCCTCGTTGCAGATTCCAAAGATTTTCCCTACAATGCATTATTTGCTGCTTTTGTTTACAGGGTTTCATTTTTCTTTAATGGATTTGGTTGTGGTGTTCATGAATAATGCGCGTCCTGCATTGGAAGAGGTGAGTTGGGAGCCTGGAGGATCATAGGCTGGACACCTTGTGCAATTAGCAGAAAAATAATAGGAATACTTCAACATGGGTATCTGTGTTTGGAGGCGACGCCTGACCATCATAGATGCATGTTTGTGTAGGTGTTGGGCAAAGTGACTTGTTAATAATGTATGTTCTGCAATAATGTATTGATAATTTCAACAGTTTTACCCCTTATTTGTTTTAGATTTTGCCAATGCTATTGTGAAAGTGTGACTTGCTGTGGTTAAATGCAGATTCTGTTAAGCCTGAGGTTATGGGACATGCAACTGTGGGGTATCTTCTACCCCAGATAATCCACTCTGGAACACAGATCTGTACAAAAGCAGTCATGGATTAATGGACTGCATCTTTTCGAGGTCATCTGGCATAACTGCACAAGTGCTACATCCACCCTCCACGTCAGCATTGTTCCTCTGGCAAGTGTGTACGCGTGTGTGCATATTGTGTGTGTATGTTTGTCCTGTTCACAGACCCAATGCATTGTGTAACCACTGGATACAGGGCAGCATGCTAGGATTTGCATGAACTGTTGATTCAGACTAGCAATATTTTAATCAAGCATTGCCACCAAAATTATCAAATTTTAAGAAAAAGAAGAGACAAAGAAGCATACTAAAAGAACTGCTTGCTTATTCAGAAAGCGCCATGAGGGAAGACTAGCATGTGGTTCCACCCAGACTGCGTTTAAGGATGGGAGTCCTCGTCTGAAGGCTATGCTGATGCCATAGACCTCTGGAGGCCTGTGCAGAAAGCAATATGTGCAGTGAGTGGCGAGTTTTAAATGAACATTTTCTTGCCCTTTTAGTAAGACTGGGCTTTTTATTTCTTTGTTTGTGAGCCAAATCCAATATACAGATATAGCCTACTGTTCAAGATTTCAGATCTGCCTTCTTATGACCTTGACAAGCACAAACCTATTACTAATCCTGAAAATACTTTGTCATTTCCACTTGTTTTAAAAGTATGCCGTTTTTAAAAAAAAAAAAAAAAAAAGGTTTATTTATTGGTTTTATCTTCTAGAGAAAATACATTGAAGGAAACAGTTGGAGCACTAACAATGTTTGTGTATGGTATGTGTTATATTCTGGTAACTTGGTCAGGTCATTGTCTTAGGCCATGGTAATGGTGTTGTAAAAGAGCAACTGTATGTATAGCTTCAGTGTGAATGCTTTTAGATAAACGTTTGAAGACAGAAGAATGTTGAAAAACCCTTGTAGAAGTCACTGGTGACACTCCATGTTATGCCAGCTGTCTGTATCCCACAGTGATCAAGACGGCCTTCAAATGACACAGAGCTGGAGTGTTCAGTAGTGTAGAAACACTGTTAGACTTCTAGTTCCCTGCTTGTGTTCACACTTAAAAAAACAGGATATATTTGGGGTGGGAGGGAGAAGAGCAACAAATGAACTTTTGCTTTGGATTCACTCTTGTCTCTTAACTGCCCCAGTAAGCACTAACAGGCAGTTGTAACCTTTGCTTTTATGTGTAAAGGGATCTTGCCTTTTTCTTTACTTTTGTTTCTTAAGTGAATGTGAGTCTTTGACGTGTGTGCCACCTTCAAGAGAAAAAAAAGAAGCCATTTAATGAGTTAAACCCACAGCTCTGAGAATTAACCTATGTGTACATATCTATTCGCTGGCATATATTGTAAGTTAAAAAAAATCACTCAGGGCCTCTCGGTATATAAAAAATAAAGGAGAACAGTCCATTTCAAATGGAAAGGATGCCATGAAAAGGGTATATCTGAATTTAGTTTGGTCGTTTTCCTCAGACCATAAATAATTTAATGTAATCAATTATAATATTCTGTTTTGTCTGAAATAGTAGATATTACATCATTTAAAGACAGGCATGCAAGAAAAAAAGATCAGTAAATATGTTATTAATATTCACTGAAAAGAGGCAATGTACACTGCAACTCATTACAAGTGTATTATTCAAACCTGTTTGGTTTTTGTTCTTGTACTCAAACCATATGTTGAGACATGGCGGTTGTGATCCCATTTCTAAATGTGCGGCAGTGCACACTATCCTACCTAATTCACTCCCAAATCTACTTCAGAGGTGTTTTGCATGACTTTTAAAAAAAAAAGTTAAACAAGTGTGTTATAGTGGAGGATATCTCAAAATCTGGTGGGGACCTATTTAATGGTGCACAATATGCATGCTTGTCAACCAGATCCCAACTGATTTTTAGCTCTAGTTGGCTTTGGGTTCTGGGGGTTTGGATCTTAACGCTCAGCTGATAACTGCCATGCATTGTACTGCACACATTTGTAATAGAACTGAATGACTACAAGATTTTATTGCGCTAACTTCATTTTATAGAAAAAAAAAAAAACTGGTCTTGAATCCAGAAATTCTTACATACATTGTGTTACTGTTATTGCCCTAACGACTGAAAACAACATGCTCTGAAACTACTGTAGTTTATCAAAAGCCATAGTGAAAAGGTGCTAGATGTTCTGCTTTTAGGTATGAAAACTCACTTGCGTGAATGCAATAGTTTGTCATGGATCCCATGTATTCTTAAAGCATGTTATACTAATACCCCTAAAACAATGTCAGTGAAAATCAATATAGTTTAAGGGATTATAAAAAAAGAATAAAGTGTTGTCATACTTATTTCAGTGTAGTACTGTACCTGCCTATCAGGCTCTTCCTCTCAGTGTATCAATATCTTAAAATGTATTGTTCACATATAGATACCTTAATTCATGTTGATGTTAGCACTATTATTTTTTGAGTAAATATTTAATTGACAATATCCAGCTACCCTGTTAAATAAAAAGAGAAACTCCCATTAAGGCCTAGGTAATGAGGTAATTTTTAATGACAACTGAGAATAGAGTCTTGTAGTCTTTCTGTTAAGAGTTATTGAATAATCTCACAGCTTGTGTGGTGCAAAAATGTGTTCCAATAAGCAGCTAAAATTTATTTAGGATTTGTGATTGATTGCTCCGTAGATGCCATTTATTGTTTACCAATGATTTTTGCTGTGGTGGGATAGTGGTTTACTGTTCTTACTCTCCCTGGCCTCTAGGGGTCCTTGCCTGAACACCAGACTACCCACCCGCCAACAGAGCCAGGGGCATGTGTTCTGTGTTAGGCAGATATTTTGCTTTGGTACTTGCACATTTACAGTTACCTCATTTTTTCCATGTTTGTATTGGGGGGTGGGTGGGGGAGAAAACGACTAATATATATTATATATAGGAAATGGTTCTTATTAATGTTATAATTTTTCATTCCATTGGAATCATATTGTTTGTAGCATTTAACATAACTAGTTAGTGTATTATATATACATCTGTATACTGTTTGAAATTTTTAAGATTTGTACTTTTTTTAAATGAAAGTTGCTAGTTATGCTTTACCAAGTAGTGCAATCATATTTTTTTTTTTTATTGTTGTGGCTGATCTGAGAGGGTTGTTCACTAATAAATGTATGATGTATACCAATATCACACTTGTTGCATTTGACTTCAAGCTGTTGAAAGGTTAAACACTGCAGTACTTTAAATAATTTTGATACCACTTCTCTAATTTAAACGTCAGTGAAAACAGTTCAGTCTCAAAACTACCTAAAATATTTTTAGTTTCCCATTCAAATCATAGCACAGACAAAAAAAGCTTTTTATCTGATGCATTTTGTCACAACAAGCAAGTCGAACATTCTCGATAAACCCGCGTTTTTAAAATGTTTTTAATTTATAGTTGGAAAATTACATCTTTACATGAGCCCATTTAGATGTTACAGGCAAAACAGGCATCTATGAGTAACCACAGGCACACTATGGGCAGACTTGTACTATACTAGATAAAGCCACAGGTAAAAGCTGTGGCCTCTGTTAAATATTGTCTTTTTAAACTTCATGAGCTTGAGGCAGTCTGCTTTACATAGTAACCAACCTGCATTTGGTCATTTTATGACACAGATGAGTCAAAAAACAAAACAAAAAGAGTCAGGTAAATTTGAAGGTTTTAAATATCTAACTTATGTACAGGGCATGGCTCATTTATAACAGGGTTCCCATATTTCCTTTTTGTCCAAATCCATCAACCTGCTCCCTGAAGTAGTACATTTGCTCTCCACACCACATGGATGAACAATAACAGCAGCACCAAACCAAACTTTGACCACTTCTGTGCTTGTCCCTCACTGTGGAGGAAGCATGTGTAAACTTAAGGCAAAAAGGGTGTTGAATTAGGACAAATGGAGCAAACATCAAGTCTGACAAAAAAAAAAAAATAGGCAAGGCATTCACACCATCATAGAAATCCATACGTCTCCATGCTGCTTTCTGTTTGTATCAGTAGTTATTAATACAACCTGCCTTCCTCAGTTGCCCAGTTATCATGAACTAATTTGGGATATGGTTCTGGTTTTGCACAAAAGCTATGCTACTGTTTCAGTATATATTTCAGTAGATGATTAATCCTTTGCTGCAACAATTACTGGTGAGGAAGGACAAGAATTAACTGGTAACTAGTACAGACAATGGAAAACAAACTTCTTTCTCCACACTGATACAAAGATGAGTTCAAGGATGGACTTCAAGAAATATTTATTTGATAAAATTCAAGACTTTCCAGGCTACTGGGAACCCTGTAAACACAACTGAACAAGGACTGGATGCAAGGTGGTTTTAATTTTTCCAGGTCAGGATTTTATCTCAATGATCCCCTTGTGCATAATGGCCATTTAACAAAAGAAGAAAAGGGACAAAAAAAAGGGAGGGGGGGTCAAGGGAAAATGTGTTTCCATGTAGAGGAGGTATGTCATCTATTAATCGTCCGTAAGGTCCTGAACAAAAAGGACCTCGGAGCGGCTGAGTCCTGCCTCTTTCAGTGTGGGTGGGTTGGGCTGCTCTTCAGTCGGGAGGCAGGGCAAGACTCGGCGAGGGAAGTTTGTGACTATCTGAAACTTCTCTGGGGTTTCTTTCAAAGAGAAAAGGAAGTCGTATATTACCTGTGGAAGAAAAAACAGGCAAGTGGAAGGGCTATTAATTAATTATTAAAGCAATGAGAGCATTCAGTGAAGAGAATGATGGGATCTGAAAAAAAAAAATTTAATTCACATGTAGATCAAGTCTGTATTAGATCAACATACTTCAAATGATGGTTGTCAAACCCTGTGCCATGGACAGCATGCTCTGAATGACTAACATTATCATGGGTGGTGGGGTTTGGCTGGAATAAAAATCTCTTGTTGCTTTGCTGTACATGGTTTGACACCCAGTGATTAAAATTTATTCTAGCTTTGACAAAATTTAATTACATTGTCTAACCTACTGAAAATCTCTGTAAAAGATTAATCAACCAGGTAAACAGTCTTGATAATTGTGGTACTCACCGTCAGAGACTGCCCAAAGAGGAATCGTCTCTCTACTCGTGTATCATTGGGCAGCTTAAACACTATTTTGACACTCTCTGGATCATCTGCAGGCGGCTCTGGAGGAAGACATTCTGACTTCCTCTCCTTCTCCTCCTCGAGTGTCTGGAGTCACACAACAAACAGTGACAACATGAATCAGAAAAAGAATGACTTCTATGTATTAGAAAAATATTAGTTATGGTCTCCATGTGTAAATTGGCATCTACAACATAATTGGAAAATGAGACTCACTCTTCGTCTCCGCTCCTCAGCAAGAGCACTCTGTCGGACCTTCTCCTCCTCTTGCCTGCGCTGCTCCTGTTCCTCCCGTTTCTTTCTGTCCTTCTCCTGGTCGGCACGGAGGGAGGCCAGATAGGCCTCATCTTGCTGCTGCCTTAGCACTTGGGTCTGGTTCCTCTCCTCCCTGACACAAAAATATTATTCTTTACCTTTACCGCAATCTGCTAGTGTACCAGAATAGGTATAGGTAGAATCTATTCTGGTACACTAGCAGATTGTGGCATTTAACACAGGACTGTATTTCAACTGTAACTTTGAGACTGAGAAGGAAATGATTGGTCATCACAGTCATACTTTTGAACTTCAAACAAAACCATGATAACATATAACTTCCAGTTTTTCTTATGTGAAGTGAGATAAAATGTCTGAAAGGAAAGCAATCTATTATGAATTTATTGATTTCTCATACCGTTCAAGGCGCTCTGACATCAGATATGTTTGGTTGGCATCCATGATGAAGGTGAGCTGATTGATGAGGTCCTCTGGCTGAATCAGGCCCTCGAGCCTTCCCACCACAGTCATCTTGCGGTCCTTCAGCATTATCATGGCCAGGAATGGATAGGTGTTCTCCCGCAATGCCTGAGACACTGAAACACACCCAAATATTATACAGTAAAATCTCATTGCTTACACAGTGCTGCAACAACACATTTTATTACTTAAGAGGAAGAGTTCACCCAAGCACACACACACCTAAACACACACACACACACACACAAAACAAACCATATCTCAGTTAGCCCTGTGGTAGCTAGCATGCAAAAAGTTTCGGTTTTACACATGTCCAATTGCTGCTTAACATATTTTTCATGATCACAGTCACCCATGTTACTGATTCACTGATGATTCACAACAAATCATGAGTTAAACAATAATAAATTTGCATACCTCTGTAGCCCTCAGGTTTGCTGGTTGAGCATGCCCAAAAAAGCATTCGTGTGTTGAGGAAAGTTATGACCTCTTCTGTACATAACGTGGAGCTATAAGGTAACAGATCAGTAGCACAAAACAAACAATTTAAAAGACAACATCTTTTTCATGTGCACATGGTTAGAAAATGCCATGGTTATATAAAAATATAAGTATACTATAGTGTATGTGTTTTCATAATAATGTAGCAAAAACCAAGCAGACTTCACTTTGAGTGGAAACAAATTCTAGCAACTGTACTCAACAGACAACAGACAGTATGTAACATATTCTGATGGCTGGCACTCAGGTGGCAAAGGTATAAAAATCAAGTATGATACCGGCAAAACTCGTCAGTGTCTTGATGATCATCCCCATGAAGGTACACTAATAGGTAGCGGAGCTCCCGTTTGGCATCATTCAGCGCCTACATGTGTCATAGTAAACAAAAGCAATAAAGGATGCAGATTACCTTTGTTGAATGACTGAACCTTCTACAGAGAAGAAAATAATGTATGTTTCTAATTGGACATTTGCACTCAATGTCTCTGAATTTACCTGGCTGTATGTTCCCTGGTAAAATACAGGGTGTGCCTGACCATACTTCTCCTCAAAACTATGAATGAAGGACACAACATCTCCGACAGGGTCTGTCACACGACCACGAGGATCTGGCCTGATGAACCGCAGGGCAAACCTTGACGAAGAAGACATTGTAGCTATCAATTACATTCCTCTATACAGCAGCTACAATTTTAAATCAATGTACTTGAATTACCTGAATATGTCCAGGAGTGTGTAATATGTAAATCTGAATGGTAGCATTATCAAGTAGTAACTCCATCCTAGTAATCCCTGAAAGGAAGAACCAATGCAGTTTATAATATGATATATATTATTTTCAGTGTTTTGTGCAATAAAGCAATTAGAAATTAAGAAATCACTTAGAAGAAAAACTCCTTCAGGGACAAGCTTAAAATCAACACAGTCATCTAACTTGTTATGTAATAACAATATCTGAGTGATACCATACCAACATAAACATAGATTAAGAAAGCACAGGTAGAATGTGGCTATGTGTCAAGCATGAACAATAGTTACAAAACATTAGGACTTAACAGGAATCATGTATATTATTTGATGTGGTGAAAATATTCTACATCTATGCAGAGATATCATCCTAAAGTACAGACATGAAAGCCTGCAGACCTACCCTGGGTTGTGGCCTTGACACGATGTAGCTATATACTCTATGGTCTGCTGTATTGACCTGTAATGGTCTGGATGGTGGAGGGTTAAACACACTGGGCACTCCTTCCTGCTCATTAAGTCTGTCTTGTACTGCAGCCTGAAACGCACAGAGTTAAGCCCATCATACTTGAGTCAAGTCCTTCAATAAATTCAAGGAATGGCAACTCAATCAGAGAAAGCCAGCGCATTTCACAGAATCTGTATAGGAATTAAAAAATATAAAAAGAGTCATGAAAATTCTATTGTAAATCCTCCGAGATGCCAAAAACGACTTTACCTCTATGTTCCAATTATGCTGCTCTAATGTTCGACGACATTGGTCCATAGACTCCAACCCAGTTAGGTCCTGTTGAAGAAATAAAGTCAGACTGAAGGCCCTAAGTTGATCAGAAAGGCAGAAAAGTACGTTTATACGTCTATTGTCAGGGCTTCCTCCTGTAGCTCTTATGCTACTGCTCAGCTGTGTCAAGTTGTTCGTGAAAAAAGTTAACAAGAATCATACTAAAAGAAACCGCCTCGGTTGTCAATAGAGTAAGAATTACATTATCATTATAGTTGATTAACTACAGTTTAGTTACACAGCTACCTAACGTCAACATAAACAGAGAAAAGATCGTTTACCCCCAAGCAGGCTGACGTTAAGGGATAGCTAGCTTTCCAAAATATCAAGATAACATTTAAGCGGCTAGCTTTTCAGTTGTAGACTAAGACTATACAACAGGCTGTAAATTAAAGGGCGAGGAAAGCTGTATCAGTCTTACTGTCATAAAACTAAGCGATACGACTTGATTTCGCATAGCTACAAACAGTTGTGTCGCTGAGAAACTTCAGTGACAGCTCGATCATGACTGCTGTGCTAATTCGCAAGTGTTTAAGGGAGCGTCAGTAGAAACCAACGTTAGCCAAGTTGACGTGAAGTCAAAAATTACATCGAAAACGCAGCATGAGTGATGATGATTAACAAGGCTGGACTGGGTATATGCCTGTGAGAGAAATATAACAATCATTAAGCTATGAAAGTCCACCCATGGCCCTTAAAGTGAGCTAACTTGTTAGCTTAGCTAATGTTAGCTAGCTTTGCTAACGTTAGCTATGACTCCAGTTGACGGGTAACATTAGGGGGCTGGGGGTAACGTTACCGAAGTTGACTGTGCAAAAAGCGCTTCAACACGCACGGTTTCTCATTTTTACAATGAGTCAGTATCAACGACAACGTAAAAGAATATGAGGTTTCAAATGGACACATGTTAATGTTGTATTAAGGCTGTCCCCTGACCTGAAACTGGAGGAGTTTTTCGGTCTGCGCCTGGGATAATTCTGGCTCCTCTGGCGCCGCCATCTTACCTCGCCAATCATCTAGCAAGGCGTAACAACGTCCACTGCCTTTTCCCGGTGCGGGCCGTGCTGCTACAAATCTTCGGGCTACCGCCGCCTAGCTGTCTGGATGTCACCACGCCAGTGCCTTAAAATACTGCACATCTGTTTCTTAGACCAAATGAAAGAGATACTGAGAAAATTATCATCAGATTAGCTGATAATGCAGAGAATAATTGGTTGCAAACCTGCTCAGTGACACTACTTTATTTGTTACATCTTTCATTGTTAAATGTTTAGGGTCATTGTCCTGTTGAGCTCCAGCAGGTGGACAGCCACCCTTACATTATCCTGTAAGATACCTTGATGAACTTGGGAATTCATTTTCCTCTCTATGATGGTGTGCTTTCCAAGCTCAGAGGCTGCAAAGCAGCCCCAAATCATGATGCTCCCTCCACCAAACTTCACCTCTGGGATGATGTTTTCATGTTGGTGTGCAGTGACCATCATACCTAGCGCTGCATGTTCTTCCCAAACAGTTCAACCTTAGTTTTATCAGTCCACAAAACATTTTCCCAGTAGTGTGGAGTCAACGTGCTCTTTGGTAAACTTTAGGGGTGCAGTGATGATGCTTTTAGAGAGCAGCAGCTTCCTCCTGCTCTATGCAACCATGCACCATGACTGTGTATTGTAGACTAATGAACAGAGATGTTATCAAGCTCCAATGCTTCATTCAAGCCTGCAGCTGTTAATCCTATGTTCTTTGTTTTATTACTGATCATTCTACATTGTGCTTTCTGAGTAATCTCAGCTAAGCCATCACTTCTAGAGAGACTGTCTACAGAACTAAATCGTCCCCATTTATGGACAGTTTGTCTAACTGTGGACTGATGAAAGTCTAAACTCTATATGATGACTTTGTAACCCTTTCAGCTTCATGCAAATCAACAATTCTTAACTGTAGTCTTCTGAGATGTTTTTTGTGAGGCATAGTTCACAATAGCAAATGTTTCTAGTCAACAGCAAACTCAAAATGTTTAAGTGTTTTTTTTAAGTCAAAGTTGCATGAACCTACACCTTCAATCTGGTGTCATTGATCCAACTCCAGGTTTGATAAGTTTTTCCAGCCTACACTGTGAATCTCATCAATATGGACAAGAACAGTACAATGATTTGTGTGTTATTCGTTAAAACAGACTGTGTTTCTTCATAATTATAACTTGAATGAAGATCTGGCCATATTTTAAGACAAAATTATTCATAAATGGAGGTAATTCCAAAGAGTTCAATTACTTTGTCTTGCCACTGAATAATGAGATATCACTGTAATGGTAACATGTCCCTTTCTAAAAGACTTTAAAGCAGAAGTTAGTCAGAGTGAGGCCAACACTTCCTCCACCAACTCTTACTCTGTCACTCTTTAGTACACAGACAAATAAACCTTACACATCTTGTGCTACATAGGTGAAAATTAATTTATTTGGCCATTTGTGGTTTTACTTACACAGAACTTATCAAACTGAAAAGGAAAAACCAGGTGATTATGTGAATGTAAAAATTAAGCTGGTTGAATTGTCACTGTGGTAGTGTATGTATAACAAAGACAAACCGAGAGTATTTCACACAAGAATCATTTCCTTTTCGTGTTCTTAACCTCTTAGCCTTTCAAAAAGAAGTGAAATTAGGAAATCAGTTTCACAATATAGCAAATGCTGAGCCATCCAATGTCACTTTTTCCCTTCCACCATAATGATGTGGTACCCAAACTTGGTCTTGACAGGAGGGTCTGTGTATACAGGTTTATCCATGGAACTGATAGGTAGGGCAAATGCTGCATCCTGGAAAGGTCCAACCATCGATCCCCGAGTCATCCACCCCAGATCACCCTGTGATCAACATAACAGTCATGAAGAAAATGTCACAATATGCACCAAGAGAAAGTGACTCAACATGAGCAACATTGGCTCAACTGTACAGAAATTACCCTTAAATCCCATTAAAGTTTTCCACTGGCTGAGAATACACAAGTGTTGTCATGAGATGCAGGTGTGAATAAGCAGGAACAATAACACATTTCTGTCAGTAATTATTCAGTCTGGAATTCATCACCTTGAGGACTCATTGCGAGGTTTAGGCCTGCGTATCCCCATTACTTCACATATCTATGTATGTATATGTAGACTACATATCAAATCTACCTCCCATATCTATATGAGAACATGTTCTTACTCCTTGTCTAGCTTTGTCTTCACTGTATTGTGACGCTACTTCACTGAAACGGACTCCAGCCTTCAGTTTCTCCATTGCCTCCATGCATTTGCCATGTTTTTCACAGAGGATGTGCCGAACCTGGGAAACACAGACCATGAAAGCACAGTTAGACTTCCAGGAATAAACAATGGATAATATCACTGTAGATTAGTTTAGCAATTATACACTCTTTATACACTTATTAGGAACCTGCTTATTCATGAAATCATCCAATCATGCAATCATGTGCCAGCAGAGCAATGCATAAAATCATGCAGATCCAGGAGCTTCAATTAATGTTCACATCAAGCATCAGAATGGGAAAAATAATGTGAGCTCAGTGACTTTGACTATGTCATGATTGTTGGTGCCAGACAGGCTTGTTTGAGTATAACTACTGATCTCCTAGGATTTACACACAAAACAGTCTCTAGAGTTTACACAGAATGGTGTGAAAAACAAAAAACATTCAGTAAGCAGCAGTTATGTGGATGGAAATGCCTTGTTGATAAAGCTGGTTGGAGCTGACAGACAGGCTTACAGTAACTCACATAACCACTCTTTACAACTGTGGTGAGCAGAAAAACATCTCAGAATGCACATTATGTTGAACCTTGAGATGGATGAGTTGTAACAACAGAAGACCACGTCGGCCTGTCAGCCAAGAAGAGAAATCTGAGGCTGCAGTGGGCACAGGCTCGCTTAAACGGGACAGATGAAGACTGGAAAAACTTAGCCTGGTCTGATGAATCTGGATTTCTGCTGAGGCACAAATGGACCCAGTGTGCCTTGTGTCAACAGTCCAGGCTAGTGGTGGTGTAACAATGTGGGAAATGTTTTCTTGGCACACTTTAGGCCCTTTCAATCAATCATGCTTTGAATGTCACAGCATATCAGAGTGTTGTTGCTTTTAATGGCCTTCCCAGTCACTAGATCTGAATCCTGAAGAACACCTTTGTGATGTGGTAGTGAGAGATTGTCAGCATGAATGTGCAGCTGACAAACCTGCTGAAACGATGTGATGTATGAGGAGAGGGCGAGGGCACTCATCGTTTAGTCAAATTTCTACTGTTGTATGACACTTGACCGCTGCAATGCGACTGTGGATAAAAATGTAAACATGAATATATTACCTTCACAGCGGTGCCTCCTTTAGGTGCTTTTTCTTTCTTATCGGCGTCTGCACTTCCTGAAGCAGCTCCTACACAGCACCCACATTTAGCACCATGAAAACACAACAACAGCAGCATACAATAATGTTAAAACAAACAGCACTGCACGACTTAGCGATTATCATTGGATACATCATACCATAGAAACATGTAAGCTACTGCAGTTGTGTGCTACAGCCAAGTAAATATGGATGACTTTAAGCTATAAATACGCAACACATGACAAACAGTACTTAGCTAATGGCCACTGACCTTTACCACCCTTGCCACCTTTACCTTTTGGTGGCATTTTAGAATAAAGTATACGGAAATTCGGAGAATAATGAAAGGAAAACTACTAGCATGCGCTCATGCTCTGTTAAGATCAACATGCGCAGTAACCTGCGCCGAGACGCGAAAGGACTCTTCTTCCTTAGCCAGTTATTGGTAGACTGCAGCTAGATAATATCTATACCGCCACCTAGTGTTGTATCAGAAATTGCATTTTATATTTACCTACGCCAAGGAGGTTTTTGTTTGTTTGTTTGTTTTTTCTCTGAAGTCTGGTGTGTGTTGTTTGACATTGATAAACATTGCAGTTAATAAAAGGGCATTTTCCAACCCTTTGTTCCACTATGTTTTGTTGTTTTATGTTTCTTTAAAAAATAAAGCATCAAAAAAGGCATTTTTTTCATTTGTCGTCCCTGTAGTAGTCACTTTAACCATTAAAAAGAACTGTTTCTGAAATAGAAGATAATTATCCAGGTCTGTTGTAGTGGGGGAAAAAGTGAAACTAAGTTACCTGGGTCCCAACAAGGGAAGGGCCCACACAAAGCCTGAAATTAAAACAACAAAATCTTTACATAATTTGCACAATAAGCCTATTAGCCTACTTTTGGTTGAATAAATAGTCTGACAGACTATTTCTTGTATCTAAATAATATAACTTCTTTTAAAAAGTAAAAACAAGCTATCAATACAAGACATAAAACTCATGAGGAAAGCAGCTGATACAAAATTTCTTGTGGACACAGCTTTGTAGCAGTATTTCAAAATGGTTTAATATTGGTATGCAGTGGTATGTAATATTAAAATATTTATCTTGCTGATAAACCCTCTTCAGTCTGAGAAACACCTACAGAAAGTGAGTCAGCTGCAGGCTAATCATCACCATCTTCTCATGTCACAAAGATGAGCTCTGAAAGGTGTTGAATCATTTCAAAGTCATTTCCAGCACTTTACACAAGGAGACTTGCAATAATAACACCAAGTAGTAAGTACAAGTGCAAATCGGTCACAACAGGTTTTTGCGCAATCCTGCTGAAAAATAAATCGACACACACGCACGCACGCACGCACGCACGCACACACAGTGTTTTTTATTAACCAAAAAAACAACAAACTTTGAAACAGATTGAACAACTGAAAATAAGTATTTAGTAACACAAGTAAAGTACAGTCTGAACTCTGGTAGTCCTCCTAATTTCACGGCGTCAGTGCAAGGTGGTTACCATGGCGACGACATTGCACACAAACGGAGCATGTGGCGTGTATAGACAGCTGTCTTGTGTTGTTTAGTGACCCCAGTCTTACCTCGATACTGTGCTTTCTAGTTCTTGAAAACGACGTTGTTCGTCGGAAAAGTACATGGAAAAGTACGACAAGGTGCTGTGTTTGGGTCGGGGAGGAGCAGCAGACGTGTTCCTGATGAGGCATGTGGAGCGGAAGAGCCTGCACGCTGTGAAGCGGGTGAAGGTGGAGGACACACGGGCAGCAAAAACACACAGAGCTGTTCTCCAAGAGGCTGACATCATCAGGAGGCTGGAGCACCCTCACATAGTGACATGTAGCGATGCCTTTGTGAACCCTGATGACGGATTTATTTACATTGTGATGAACTATTGTGATGGTGGGACGTTGGATGACAAAGTGAAACAGAGGGAACCAGGGGAGTTTTTCACAGAGGATACTGTGATGGGATGGTTTGTGCAGGTGACTGTGGCTGTGAATTATATACACACGGCTAAAATACTACACAGGGACATCAAAACTTCAAATGTACTGCTAACAAAGCAAGGTGTGGTAAAGTTAGGGGACTTTGGGATATCCAAAGTAATGACTAACACAGCTGATATGGCCTCCACATGTGTTGGGACACCCAGCTACCTAAGTCCTGAGCTTTGCCAGGATGTCCCATACAGCTCCAAGTCTGACATCTGGGCTCTTGGCTGTCTGCTTTATGAGATCTGTGCTCTCAGACCTCCGTTTGCCGCCACAAACCTCCTGAGTCTGTTGTACAAGATCACCAAAGGAGAGTATGATCCCGTGCCTAACACATACTCGGACAACATCTCCTCTTCGATAAAGAGGATGCTCTGCCTCAACCCAGAAGACAGGCCAAGTGCTGCCTGTATACTGAGCAGTGCCTATATGCAGGATCACCTCGAGAATGTCACACACACACAGACTGACTGTGGTCCTGTGACTGAATCTAAAGGGGAGAGCTGTGACATTAATATAGAAGCAAACAATACAGACATTGACACCACACTTGAGCCACATGATCTCAGTCAATCCAACTTAAGGGAAGAGAAACACTCTGTGGAGGGCAGTCTCAGCGATGAGGAGGAGGATGATTGTGATGCTCTGTGTGTTGGAGGACAAATCCACTGTGACTGCCACTATCCTGAGGACTTTGATGAGGATGAAAGTTTGTCCTCTCTAGAGGAACACAGTGAACACTCTGGGTCTCCGATGAGGAGTGATTCTGCAGCGCACACTGGTAATGTAGAGCTGGGAACATAAAAGGAAACATCTTAAAAGTGGTTTAAGAGGCACTGAGATCTTTACTTTAAGTGAAAGTACCAGTGCCATTAACTAAAAGTCAAAATTCTACTAAAAGTATCAAAAGTAAAAGTACTCACTCTGCAGAAAAATGGCCCCTGTCACTGTTATTTTATTATATATTACATTATTATATTATTATTTCTAACACATCAATATGTAAGTATCACTTTGCTGTTGTAGCTTGTCAAAGTGGTGCTAGTTAAAACTACTTTACACACAGTTAGGTAGTTTTTAGTTTAGTGGTTCCCAAGCCTGGGTCGGACCCCTCCAAAGGGTCACATGATAAACCTGGGAGGTCGTGAGATGATACACAAAGTTCTTATATGCAAAACTGTTTTTTATTTTTAGGACTTTTTCCCTAATCTTAGCTTGTTTGTGAAATATTGGATAATTTTATCTCTTTGAGCCTTGAAATGAAACTGGGACTGTGGGTCAGACAAAACAAGCAATTTGAAGCTCTAATTCTGATGCATTGGGACACCAGTCCTCTGGTCTAATAAGGTTTTATTAAAAATATCCTTATTTTGTCCTCTTAGTCTGATTTTGATTCATAGTTTCTACAAAACAAAAAAATTAAACACATATTAATCAATGCAAAAATATAAAATCTTCTAAATATAGAAGTTGTTTTATGATCAAAACAAAAGCCTTCAATCCTGGTATAAACTTTTCTTAGGTACGACTGTGGCAAATCACTCAACAGCTTATTTCTCTCTTACAGTATTTCCAGAAGTTCTTGACATTTCAGAACAAGTTGACTATCCAGATGACTTTGAGGAAGATGAGGAGAGGGAAGACGATGAGGATAAAGCAGACTTAGTCCACTCTCCTGCTCTTCAGCAGCCACATGATGATGAGGGCCTGGAGGAGGAGTTTCAGCTCTGTGATGCTGGAGGATTGACCATTACACTGAAAGCATTGAAGGAAAAGGGCTAAAAATACTTTTACAGCCTCAAAAACTGTACATCGCATGTGACCTCTGGAGTTGGAACTGTAAAACACTTGTCAAGTGCCTGTTTGTTAAGTGTTCATGTGCATTTGATGTTACAAAGGAATATGTTTGAACCTACTGCCTCAGTTGGAGAAAAAACTGGAAGCAGACCATTTGGGAGCTTCCTGTCTTACTGTGCATTTACTATACACCATGAGACATTGTGAAATTATTATAATAAAAATAGCACCCGTAAAGATTGGATATGACATCATGACTTTCAAAAATGATAGAAAAGCTCCACTAGAGGGTTCAACTGTTTAAATTGGATTCACAGCTTTCTTCATATCGATTATATATGCTTTATAATGTATGTATTCTCGCAGTTTCCTGAGTTTCAGGCTGAGCTGTCACTCAACATTGTTGCTATACATTTACATTTTTATCTCTTGCTCAGAATGAGATAAAGGCTAAATACGCATGCAGTTATGTGTTCAAAGGAAGTATGTGGTATATCCAGCTGTCCACAAAGATATTAGATAACACACCATAAATTCAAATATAATAAAATAAAAATGAAGATAAAAACCTATAATAAGAAGCATGTTGAGAAACTGAAATAAAAATGGAAATCAGACTTTAAACTATAAGTAATCTACCTACGGCAAAACAGGTGTGTCTAAAAGCAACAAAATAAAATAAATCTGACACTTTTGTTTGTTTTGGCCTGAGATGCTGCATTTTTGTGTCTTGTGGATTGTAGGTATTGTGTTGTTCATGTATTTTATTGATGCAAGAAACCATCACTGCGCCAAAACCCAAGAATCTGGAGATTTTTTTTTTTAGGTTCTTGCAAGAATCTGGATCATATGTGAAGATTTTTCGATATGACATCTTACAATGCATGGATTGGAGCATGTCCAGTCCAGATTCCATCATATATGGAGTCATAGTTTGAAATATCTGGGCAACTACATCTCCGGAAGACTTAAAGAAAAATGTATCATTATTGCAGATCTGCGAAGCCCTGTTATATCTCTCTGTATGTTATGTTCAAACAGATTATTAGAGATGTGATGATGAGTAAGTGACATTCGATGGCTGGAAAAACTCAATTCAGCAAAGTGGGAATATTTAAAAAATTTTCATGTTTAAATTTTGCCCTAATCACAATCACACAATTACAACGCAGTACAACCCGACCTGCTGGCTACTGGGGGTTAACAGCCTTGCTCAAGGGCACCTCAGTTGTACTTACGTTCTCCCTCCAGATTCCGCCTGCTGGTCTGGACCGGGAACCTTACAATCCTAAGCCGGATGCTCTCGTTTCTCCCTGCATTTGAGCAGATACCACAGTCCAGTCATGTGGAACAAACGACAAAATTAACATCACTAACACAAAAGGGTTTCACTCATTTGTTTTTTTTCTGAAAACATGATCATTTTTGCCCATGTTCAAAGGGAAATAGTGATCTGTCACTGTGGCTGCTAGAAAACTCCTCCACTGTGCTAACTAACTATGAGATAAACTGAACAAACAAACCGAACTTAGCACAATGTAGCTTCTGCCTCCCTTTGCCCATAAAAGAAACAGTATTGTGTGTTATCACTTATGTAATATAGTTTTAATTTTTTGTTTTAATTCTATTGTGCTCCCTCTCTTTATTAGTACAGAATCCTTCATTTGAAGCTCTTATCCTTAAAAATAACCTTGTAACGACATTATGGTGAATAGAAAATGTTTGCCTTTGCAGCACAAACGCACTCAGACTATTGATATGTCATGACAGGTAAGGTGTGAAAAAGACTTAACAGGAATACATGCTTTGCCATTAACACATTTACGGTTGCGCAGTTTCTGGGTACATAGCTTTAAAATACAGTAATGATGTGGACAAGTTAAGCTTTGAATGTGCCAAGCTCAAGGTTCAATGTTTTCTCAACGGAAATGTAAGATTCATGTTTTATCAACACACGATCTTTCATGAGTTGACCAAAGTTTTTCCGCACTCAGCAGTCAGCAGTCTCAGGTTCACCCACATTACATTTACATTTACTCTGAGAGATCAGACACACAGAAGCACAACAAATTTCCATGAGCCAATACTGATACACCACTGCAAAGGCCTGTTCCTTTGTCAATGGGTGTAAGGTGACTTATTCCCCATATGAGCAGAAAGTCCAACCGCATGAATCATAATCGATCAGGTTGGGATGGTGATGTCACTGGTCAGTGTTAACAAGCACCACTGATGTATTTGGGTTTTGTCCACAGGCATCGCCATGGATGTCCCTAGAGCCGCGCCTCTGCATGGTGGAGAGTCGAAAGGTTTAGTCAAAACTCATTTTGCAAAACATCTTCACTTTGAAGACGTCATAACAACGAAACCATTGTGACCCCTTCATAAATTGTGTCTGTCTGGGGGGTAGGCTATTTAGGATAGGGGGTCTTCGAGGCATCAGTGCCCAGGTGTCCATCACCGCATAGACTGTTCACACCCTTGAACAATTAATCAAACGCTGATATTCCTGAGCAGCTGGCTGCAAGCTTCATCAGGTCTCTGATCAACACTGGTAATGTCAACATAGCTAAAGAAAACAGCATCTCTGAATGAAGCTGTGGAACTTGGTCTTGGAATTGTGACAGCTGACCAAAAGATGCCATTCTGCGACTTTCCCTCTGTGCAAAGATTCCCCTGCTGTGCACTCAACAATTTTCCTCTCAAGCATCCACAAATTCACACATACACACTCATCTGATTCTTCATCCACTGATGGTGTTACAGACAAAAGAACCCCAGTAACTTCCATGATGACATATGTTGCAACCACATACACACCAGACAGTGTGAGTCATGAAGTAACAGCTCCTAAAAGAACTAGAGGTACTCTTTAGAAGAAATGTACTTTTTTAAAATATATTTTTAGAAATTGTGTGATATTCAAATTACACTGTGGTCCCTGTTTGTGATCATAACGTTTATTTTCTCTCTGCTCATGACAGCAGCACCAACCTGAACTCATTTTCAGTACAATGTGAGGTTATTCACAGAATAAAGCTTGTTTTAATATGAGAAAAGACAAAAATTTGGTCAATTAACAGCACTTTGTAAGTCTGGAAATGAATCTCAATGACAGTATGCTTTCTGTATGACTCACCGTGACTCCCAAAATTGCACAAAGAAGACTCTTTCATCATTGGTGTTTTCACTGAGATGAGTATTTTTGAGTTTCGTCCTCATCTGTTTTGCTCTACTTCCAGGGAGTGAATAAATACATGTTTAAACAATTAGCTATTCTTCAGGGTAAATCGTGGAATTTTTCCTGAGGGTCTGGACATAAATGTGGGACAACATTGTGATTTAATAAATGCACATAAAAAAATTTGCTAAAATTGGGTTTCTCTCATCAGTGAAATTATTTTGGTGACTAAATTTAATTGGTCTATAACACCCTGCCGACACCTAGGGATGAACTTGTTTAGCTTGGTTCCCAAATATGTACAGTAATTGGGATCTTACTGCAACACTGTGATACCTGTGTGAAAGCAATGAGATGGTGCCGAGAACAGATAGTAGCAGAGAGAAGAAAAAAGAAAATAGTTGCTCATAAATATGGGAGAGTCCAACAAGTTCAACATTGACAAAAAGTAAAAAAATAAATTGACAAATAATAGAAATGAGAAATGCTCCACATACCCATAAACACAGCTTACCTGGTACTTAAAGTAAGTTTAGTACTTCGTGGGTTTGGTACTTGGTGTGGGTTTTTTCGTCTAAAACCCCCTCCCACCATGCTTTTCCACTGTCAAATTTGAGGGGGCTGCAACAATTTCTGTACCTTTCTGAACCAGACAACGTTTGGCCAGCTGCATGGTCTGGAGGTGAGAAAGCGGACATAACTTTAAGTTCTCTCTCAAGCTCTCTTTTTCTTTTTCAGTCTTCACGCAATTACTTAGCGCTGACCCAAATAACATGAAGCATCAAAGTAGCACTTTCACAATATCAGATTTTCAGTACACGATCACTACACTTAATGGATAGTGAAACAGCAACCAGATGAACTGATGAACAAACGATCGACAAGGCCTAACATCTGTCATCTGTCGTTTCCCCATTTGGAGCAAATGCAGGGTTCCTGACTTAGCACCTAAATTCACCTTTCAGACCCCTTTAGTGAATCTTTTTCAAAACAGTGACTAGCCTTAGCTACCTCCCACAGAGTACTCAGTACTGCCCAGTGAGCATCTCCCTATGCTGAATGAACAGCTGCGGAACGTGTTGATTTTCATTTTGGCGCACATGTTAACGAGTTAGGGTGGACACACTGGCTGTGTGACATGTGCGTCTCATGTGTCTCGGCTGTGTGGCATGATCTAGAGACACTTGCATAATTTTCACACGTGTCTCAGCAAAAATAAACAGAGAAAAGACTTGCTGATATCATATTCACACCATAGCAGCAACATTACATACAACTGACACCTTGTCTCTGTCTAGGCTGAATCTGAATGTGACACAGAAGTGAAAAAAATGTAAATCTATTTTTTTTAAACATTTTAGCATCAGCACGTGGAGACAGTGGCATTTTAGTGATGTTTTCTGTCAAAAAATACATAAGAAATCAATTTTTAATGAAGAGAAATCCAACACTCCAGTAACCTGTAAACTCTATGTAAAAAGATAGAGCTGGCAGCAGCAGCAATGCTGCAGAGACGCAGCCAGTGTAAACACACAAGCGTGATTCTCCGCCGGGTGGGGCTAGCTAGTTAGCATGCTAAATTCAGCAGAAGAAATATGTGATAGATACGAGTTAATATTGCTTTCCACTGCAGGAGACCGCTCTTAGCGAGAAGAGGAATGAAGCTTGATACTGAATTCTAGTTTTTCTAGACTGATAAGTAAACAGATGTTAATGATAACCGAAGCTATGTAGCAATAGCAAAACGTACAAATTGCTACTTTAACTTATGAGGTGATTTTGACAGACAAAGTCACAGTTATAA